CGTTAGTTAGTGATACTCTTCTCAAAGTTCTTTTGCCCATTGCAATATAAGGCGTCAGATTTGCCGGAGAAACTTCATAAAATATTGAAACTCCTAAATTATCGGGAACGAAAGTCTTATGTTAAACATGCAGTATCTTTCTCTTACTGATCTTCCCATGAATCTAGGAAATTCTTTACGCAGAAATTCATTTATGGCATCAGAAGGGCCTCTGCATAAGGCTGTGGGAAATGATGTCATGGCTGACGAGAATCAATTATTTACGAACCGTTCTCCAGACGACAACTTGCGCTTTATTGAGCAGCTTGATAGACTCAAGTTAAACAATGCTTTGGCATTACGCCTTCGCCCTAATTATTCAAATTCGTTTGAGTCCACTGCTTGGAGAAAAAAAATTAAGATTCTAGTCTATTGGTGTGTATCTGTGCATCGTCATATGGGTATGTCTTCCGAGAAAATCTTGATTTTATGCAACTTTTTAAAGAGAAAGGTTTTGCAAGCTGCGGGACCTAAGGGGGCAAACCAACTAAAAGCTGAATTTTGAAAATGAACTCCTCGAGAGTATTTTTAGTTTAGCCGAGGAACCGAAAAAAAATGTCGAGGTTTACAATTTTGTATGTTCTTATAAACGAGCTTTATCAGCTCAAGATCATATCAATTTCGTCCTATGTGCGGAAGTTAATCGCATGTGGTATATTCTATAACATAACCTCAAATTACAAGTGGTGAATCGCAACTTCCTCAAAGTGATCACATTCAGTTTCACCTTTGCATTTTAAAGAATCTACCAGTTTTGAATAACAAGCAATGTGATCATATTCTCAAAAGATGGACACCTGATGGTTTCAATTTTTCAAAATATTTTTCTAGAGGTGTTGCATTACTTCAGTCAAACATTTTGGACCGTCTTCTAAACAATTCTTTCTGTTCCTCCTTTAGCAGTGAACTCGATGAGATTAAGTCTTTCAATGTCGGCGTAAAGTTTTTGTTGGTCAATTGGCTCACCACGCAATTCAAGGTTACAATTAATGGAGCTCCAAAACTTGTTCATCTTTCACCTAATATTGTTGCACATATCTATCATTTTTATTCCATCACGGATAATTTGACCGTCTTTTTCAAAGTTTTTGTGAAATTTGTTTTACGAAACGAAAACAAAATTATCATTTACTACTTGGAGACTCTCTACTATATTTGCAAGCTTATCATGCACCATTATACACTAGTCAAGTTTATTTCTGGTGCAACTTATGAATCTGTTTCAACAGCCTACGAATTATTCAAACTCATGATTATAAATTATAAAGATCTTCTGTCTCGTGAAACGGATCTTTACCAATTTAATGAAGTATGGAATTTCATCAACGCTTCAATGGAGAAAGTTTTCGATTCAGAGAAGCAACAAGATCCAGACCCGAAAATGCAGTTTAATAAGTCCTTATACGAGAAGGAAACAGCAGATTCACCTCTTAAAGTCCTGATGCAAAACCAAAGATTGAATGAAGTGTACTCCATTGAGCAGTTCAAAAATGACTTATCAAATTTAATGCTGGTAACTGAGAGTTTATTGTCAGCGGAAGAACTTGATGATATTGTTAACGAAATTCAACCCGGGAATGATCATTTCACCACTGATTTCGATAACGCAGTCAAACATGAAGCACAGATCATAATCTTATTGGATGAATGGTATGGAAGACTCTATGATTTAGCGGAAAATCAGGAACTAGCACTTTTCAAACTCGTGGAATCGACAAGAAGAACAATGAAGATATCAACGCCACGAAGCTTTGAAACACAAGTTCAAACATTCATCAAGCAGAAGATGGAGAATAATTCGTCAGTCGAAACCCTTTACATCCTCCTCCAGAAACTAGTGACATTTGAATTGTTTTCGCTCTTTGATTTGGTTTCGATGTTGAAGAATCTTTCAATGGAGTCAAATTGTAACATTAAGGAAATTGGCCCATTAATCACCGATTTAACCCTAGGAGATGCACCACAGAAGAATTTGCCTTGTTATCAGTATTTGATTATAAAAGAAATTCAACACGAGTACCAAATGAGACACGTTAAAGATATAATATCATACACTTTGGACCAGCACCTGCCTCTATCTATTTTTAAACAACGGGAAATAAGGACAAAACATGAAACCAAAATCATTAGCATCGTCAGAGACGGGTTGCTTTTCCACCAAAGGTGGACCATGATGTTTTTGGCAGACCGGCTATCAGAGGATCAACTATTGCCGCTATTTAATCAAATGCTTACGTTCTCTATGAGTCTGTTGAATGACACTGATAATTTGGCAAGATCCACAAATGAATTCACGTTAGCAGTTGTGCAAGCGTTATTAAGTTTCATGGCTAGAGCGCAACTGGACGGAAATAATTTTGGGAAAATTATAGCACCAGCGATAAAGTTATTTCACTTTCTGTTCGGCCCATCCAACTCATTCTTTGGTGAAATGTTCAACTGTTTGAATTGGAGCACAAAACTACAAATTTTTCATTATATGGAGCATGTGTTCTTAACGCAGACAGCATTCTATCTGGATTGGGGCGTTGAAGACATCATGGCTCAGGAAAACGTGCATCCAGTTTCTTTATGGAAGAACATAGAGGGAGATGAGTTGATACCAGCTTTTAAGGACTATTTCAAAAAATTCTCCCTCTCTTCTGCGGAAAAAATTGCAACAACTATAGAGGAATTTAGACGCTTAGAACAGTTTCTACTCAAGCTTCTCAATGTTCTTGATAATGACGATGTTGCTCAACAAGATGATAGCTATGTGTATGACGTGGTTTCCATTTTTCTCAAGCTACTCATTATTCGGAAGGCCACGCTTACGATGGTGGTTGTCGAACATGATGCCACCCACTTTACTTTCTTGAAGAATTTGGTCAGTATGTTGAACACTCGTTACTTCATGAATGGGCATGAAAAATTGAAGATTTTGCTTTATGATCTTTTGTTGCTCATGAAGAGCTCTCTCACAGAACAATTGCGCTTAGGAACCAATGAGAGTATAATCGGCAATACGCAAATGGGACCGAGCCAGCTGATACTGCTGAGTGGCAGTAATGGGGAAGATAGAAAGGGTCAAGGCGAGAATCCAGACGCGCCCGATCTCGCTGCAGACGCACTAACAAGGGTTTCTGACATTCTTAACCTTCCAGAGCCTGCATCAGAAAACCCATTTGGCGAATTGGCAATAGAAGAGGACGATTCTGCCTTTGGTTTGGATGAGGAAGAATTGGACTACGGTAGTGATGTGGGATACATAAATAATAGTGGCCTTGTGCTCACATCTACCAGAAGCGATTCGATTGGATTTTCCACCGCTTTTGGAGTGCTCCAGCAAGATGCGCCCATTCAGCGCTTCAATATCAAAGGCATGAACCTCATAGAAGACACCAGCACAGAGCTCAACGATGGGTGCATCAATCTTTCTCTCTTCGATGCATACACCATACGGGAGAATCCCCCATAATTTATCGGTACCAATCTCGCAGCACGCTACGGTACTTTAGATGTAATACGACTGTTTGGTCCGCTAACCTCTTATTTCAAGACCTAGCGATTCAAAGTACATTTATTGGCTCAAAAAGTATCTAGAACATGTTAGAGCACGTATACTCGTACACATACACATTTTGAAATCATATGCTTAGTACACTCTCTTTGTTAAAGTAGTGGTGGTTATGATATGCTTCACCATGCAGTGCATTATTCTATTTCGCGTTCACCACGCATGCAAATGTCTCTTGCCAGCGACGATAAAGAACTTGCCTCGCCCAGTCATTTTATTCTTGCATGCTGGCGTTTGATCCACAACTGGACCTCGGCTCTCCGATGGTGGAAAACTCCTCTGTCAACAATGACGAAGCGTCTGCTCTGAGACCCAGAGTGCCAGATTTGTCCTTTTTGAGCGCCAACTTTTCCACTGATTCTTTGGACATTCAAAACTCCATGCCATCAACGCCAGTGCGGTCGGAACTGGTAGACTCTACTCTGTCCTCTGGAAACATATCTGTCCCCAACCAGGTACCGACATACCCCAACCGCCTTATCAACAATGCAAACTTTGCGTCTCTTCAAAACTCACCAACAGGGTTTTTGAACCAACCTTCGTTTTCGTCAAATCAGAGGAGCTATTCCAATTCCTCATCAAGGCCCCGTCCACGCTCTATGTTCGGCGGAGACATCCATAGCTCAGCAATCTACGAAGATGTAGACCAGTCTCAAGCTAAACAACCAGATTCTAGATCTCGCAATCGCAACTCATTCCATTATACCCCGAAAATGACATATTCTCCAGCATTTGGGCCTCTGGAGCAAAAGGCTCGCTCGCGGTCTAACTCGCCTAAAAGATCTTCTTCCCCTAGTAGAAGGCCAAATTTGTCACCTTATCGCACTAGGGCTTCATCGCCAACAAAACAGCCCTTCAATTTCAAACCTCAAGATATAATGCTACATGGAGGGGGCTCTAATCTGTCGTTGGTAGCCAAACCACTTCATAGAAAAGGACACAGATATAAGCATTCCTCTGTGTCCATGAACCTTTTCCAAGAACCATTGCCCATTGACGGAGTCAACCTCCAACAGAATCTTCTTCCAGATCTGTATCCGATTCCCAATCTTCGAGAGTCCTTGGCAAGTGCGAACGGTGAACAAAAGCTCAAGCTCTCCTTTGCATTTTCCCACTTCTTCATGTCAGGCTTGGTGTTTTTCATCGGAGTTAAATACCAGCAACCAGCATTTTCAACCCTAGCTCACTTAGTCTTTTATGACTCATTGGGGTCTCTCTTAGTCGCTTCTGTTGATATCATGTCCAACTTTGAGGCATGGAGCAAATCTTCAATTGCTTATCCATTTGGTTTGGGGCGTCTAGAAGTGCTCACAGGTTTTGCTCTCAGTGCGTCCCTGGTTATGGTTGGTTGTGATCTAGTCAGCCACTTCGTCGAAGAGCTAGTTGTTTCTTATGTGGAACCATCATCTGAAGAACATGGACTGCATCACATTCATGGCTCTAACAACCCAAATGTGAACTGGTTTTTGTATGAGTTGGTACTTTTGAGTGTAATTGCTATGACCTGGTTAACCTCTACTATTATTTTTGCGCATGGCACCATTTCGAAGATGTTGGCTGAAACGGAAAGCAAACTGGCCAATACCGCATCAAAGTCGAAGGATGGCCTTTTAGACACTGGCTCTGCGTCCACTAATCCTAAAGTTTCCAATTTCAAGAATTTGGTTGACATTTTTGCCAAGAACCCCATCCGTTTGCTCACTCTATTGTACTCATTGTTCTTGTTTTTCGTTCCTATGATACCATCTTCATTGAAGACAAAATTTGGGTTCGATATCAATGAAATGTCAACGTTAGTTGTTGCGTTCACTTTATGTTATGCGGGCTGGAATGTATTGAAGACTCTTGGTGGCATATTACTCATTTCTTTCCCTTACTCCGACTACGATTATAATGTGTTGAAAGCGTCTATTATAGACAAAATCTTGAGTTTGCCAAGTTTCAAAAAATCTTATACGTTGGGCAACTTTTCCTTTTCCAAAGTCAACTACCAACTATATGTCGTAGGGGTCTGCGTGAGCATGAAAGGTGGAAGCGCCGATGACGAGTCCCGGCTTCTTTTTGAGATAAACCGAGTTATTGAAACCACATTAAATGGGTTTGAACGAGACGCAAGAGTCGAAACTACAATTAGTGTGGAACGAGTGTAACCGGAAAGCAAATGCTTGAATAATCAATAGATAAGCCTGCATGTGTATTACCCAATGGGGTAGGCATTAGTCACCTAAGCGCGGTGCGAAAAGTTTTCAATGTAGGTAGAATCTATATAAACCCATAATTCCCTCACGATAATTACCTCAAAGAATAGAATGCTTAGAAATTTGGCCACCAGATCTACAGGCTACTACAGACTCAATAGCTTGCGGTCACTTTCTGCGTCAATTGCTTCTCGGAAGGCCGTTTTTGCCTCTCCGGATGCAGATGCAAGTAGTGTCACAGGAAAGTTTATTGATGATATCACCAAACCATACACAGTGACCACATACGCTCGTCCTAATTTGGTCATTTCGCATGGAAAAGGCTCTTATTTGTATGACCTCGAAGACAGAGAGTATGTTGATTTTACAGCAGGCATTGCAGTGACTTGTTTGGGACATAGCAACGAAGAGGTGAGCAAGATTATCACCAAGCAGTCACAGACTTTGATGCACTGTTCTAACCTCTACTACAATCTTCCTGCTGGTGAATTGGCAAACTTATTGGTCACGAAAACATTGGAAGCTGGAGGAATGCAAGAGGCTCAAAGAGTCTTCCTCTGCAATTCCGGAACTGAGGCCAACGAGGCGGCTCTAAAATTTGCCAGAAAATACGCCAAGCTGAAAACTCCGACCAAGACTGAAATCATTGCATTCACCAATGCTTTCCACGGCCGGACCATGGGGGCATTGTCCGTCACTGCCAATCCAAAGTATCAGGAGCCTTTTTCTCCGTTGATACCGGGTGTCCACACAGCAGAAGTTGGCAACATCGAGTCTGTCAAGCAATTTATTAGCAAGGAAAGAACTGCAGCAGTCATAATTGAACCTATACAAGGTGAGGGTGGTGTCAATACTGTGGCTAGTGAATTTTTGGTGGAATTGAAAAAGCTATGCGAGGAAAACGACGTGGTACTCATTTACGATGAAATCCAATGTGGCTTAGGCCGTACTGGCAAACTATGGGCCCATTGTGATTTGCCTAAAGAAGCTCATCCAGACATTCTCACCATGGCGAAAGCTCTAGGAAATGGGTTTCCAATTGGTGCAACTATGATAAGCGATAAGATTGAAAACGCTTTGCAAGTAGGAGATCACGGAACTACTTACGGTGGAAACCCATTGGGCGCCTCCATCGGTTCTTATGTTGTGAGCCAAGTCAGTGACAACGATTTTTTGAAAAAGGTGGAATCAGTGAGTGAACTTTTTGTTACCGGTTTGGAGAAGATGGTTCAGGAATACCCGGAGCACGTTGAAAAAGTGAAAGGAAAAGGTCTCTTGTTAGGCTTGCAACTCAAGCCAAATGTGGATGCCAATAATGTGGTGACGAAGTGTAGAGAATATGGTTTGCTTGTCATTACGGCCGGCGGAAACGTTATCAGATTGGTTCCAGCATTGAACATTCCAGCTGATGTTGTATCCAAGGGTTTGGAGATATTGGCCAAAGCCATCGGAGAAACCGTAGGTACACTGAAAAAGAATTAAGTATCATAAAAGAGTACGTATCTTTACCTCATGATGTAGATCGCACCATAAGCTGTCATGCAAGTGATGTCCAATGAAACTTACAAGTACAATATATGCTTTGTATGTTCTACCAACGAAAACAAAATAGGCCACAAATCTTCGATTTTGTTTAGTAGGCAAAATCTGAGTCAATTTGATTTAAAAAGAGAAAATCTCGTCAAATCAGGAGGCCTTGAATATAGTCGATACTACTCGATGAAATTCAGGCTGCATAATCCACAATCTAAGGGTATATCAAACAAGCTAAGGGCCAGATCATACATTTCACCAAAATGGCATACGTTTGAGAACTGTACACAGAGCTTTTCCTCTCAACTGTACGGACAATTACGTCAAATAATTTCGTGAATCCTACAGGTTCGCGCCGTTTGGTTAGGTTTAGAGGTACGGGTGCTCAGATTAAGAAAGCTCTGGCGGTTCATATTCTTCACTAATATCCTTCTCCGTATATGACTATACCCTTTGCGGCGCCTACGGCCGACCTAGATTATTGCCTAGAGCAGTTGCTCGAGCATAAGCCGCCGAGGATTCTCCCAGAAGAAACGCTCCAGCAGCTTTGTCATCTGTTGAAAACTCAGCTTCTTGGTGTTCCCAACATCATGAAGCTTCAGTCTCCATGTACATTAGTTGGGGATATTCATGGGCAATATCACGATCTATTGGAAATATTCGAGATCGGGGGCTCTCCGCCCACGACAAATTATATTTTTCTCGGCGATTATGTTGACCGAGGATACTACTCAGTCGAAACCATCTCATTGTTGATAGTGTTGAAATTACGATATCCTGAGCGGGTATTCCTCATTCGAGGGAACCACGAGAGTCGGACCATCACCACAAACTATGGTTTTTATACGGAGGTTCTTAGCAAGTACAACGGCTCTCTCAAAGTATGGAATTATATCACGGATCTTTTTGATTATCTACCGCTAGGAGCCACCATAGATAACAAGATGTTTGCCACCCACGGTGGATTGTCTCCGTCGTGTCAACAGCTAGACCAGATTCGCGCCATCGACAGGTTCAAGGAAGTTCCTCACGATGGGATTATGGCGGATCTTGTATGGTCAGACCCAGACCCAGAAATTTTAGACTTCAAGCTATCACCTAGGGGAGCAGGCTATCTATTTGGCTACGATGTGATGAGGAAATTTTGTCACGATAATAATTTGGTTCAGCTCATACGAGCGCACCAGCTCTGCAACGAAGGTTATGTAAGTTACTGGAAGGGCATGTGTCTTACGATCTGGTCCGCTCCAAATTACTGTTACCGGTGCGGGAATCGAGCAAGTATTTTGGAAGTGAGCCACTCCAATTACGAATCCAAATCGAATAATGACCAAGGCGTGTTTCCGGGCCAATTTTGCAACGTTTTTGAAGCGTCTCCAGAAAATACCCAGGATACAAATGAGGGCAGGAGTGTGAACGGTATAAATTCGCTGTCTAGCAAAGACGTGTTCCGAGCATATTTCGCGGACAGGCCACAGAATAGGCCTGTCGAATACTTTCTTTAAGTCTCTCCATTTTCATTTCTTGTGTGTCTTACTAGTGTTGCGTTTCTTTTTTTTTTTTTTGTTGCTAATGCCCGTTTAAAGCTGATGTTGTATTATGATATGGAGGCATTTGTGCTTCCTCGCCCCTCGCTCATTCTTTTATTTACTTTTTCAACTATAGTCTCGATATATATTTTACCCGTAGTAAAGCTCGAAGTTAAACCCGTTGTGGATTTCGTAATCGTCCAAAGTGATGTGGTCTTTGTAAACTTGGTGGCCCTTCTTAAGCACCAACTTTTCGTGTGATGTTCCAATCTGAAGTGAAAGAATCTTCTTCAAGTCACCAATAGTATCTGAGGGAAGGCATTTGACCTTTATCTTCTTTCCTAATCTGTCATTGGCAAGCACTTCGATCATTGTATGGAGTTGTAAGATGTCTTTCGGTATATGCAAACCAGTTTTGCCTGCGTATGCTTCAGGCAAAAGTTTACGAGACCCTTCACGCAAGTGGAAAAGAAAAGATTCAAAAGCGATTTTTGATGGTGAAATGAGTGGATAATGCTCAGAAGATGAGAAGGTGTGAAAATGTTTGTACCAGCATGCCTTAATGTCTAAAAGGTGCAGTAGATAGCGTAGTTTTCACTCGTAGAATTTCTCACTACAGAGAAATATATGCCGTAGCTATCTAAAGGCCCACACATAATTGTATTGAAAACTTGGAGAACAACGAGGATGTAGACCCACAAGGAGCATCAGTCATGTCCATTTCAAAACTGACACATATTTTGGTTATGAGCGTCGCGAGGAATTACCATGAAGAAACTACTAATCGAACATGAATTTGGAGCCATTCTTCCATCGATTTACTCGAAGGAGACAGTATGTTGTTCAGAGTATAAAAATATCTCTACTAACTTGTTGTAACCTTCAAACACCCTCGATAAGTAAATGTATTTGCTCTTTCTTGGCCAAAGAGAATAATGTTCCAGAAGTCGTTTTATATGCAAGCGTCCTGCGTCGCGATTATTCTCTTTATCAGCTTGATGATCTTTAATTATGCACGACTGACGACCCATTACAATTTTTAGCAGAGCCTTGTGTCTTGTTTTTGTCTTTTCTTTATTTCTTTACTTCACCAAGAGCTCCCCTATTTAAATCCAGCACATGGCTGTGATGTATGAACCTTATCTATAAACATCATTGCCAGACTTTTTATTTTCCTCATCGCCATGTCAGACCATAATCTCCTACCTATTTTTGCACAGGTGACAAATTCGACAAACGTGGAGCTTCCGGCAGAATACCATCTAATCGCCAACATATCCAAAATTTCTGGAGCTCTATCTCTTCTAATATGGTTATTTGCACAGCTCCCACAGGTTTTGGAAAACCACTTGAACCAATCTGTTCTGGGGGTATCCATAGCATTCTTGTCTTGTTGGATAAGTGGAGACGTCACTAATTTAGTCGGATGCTTGCTAACAAAAGCTCTTCCATTCCAAACGTCTTTGGCGGCATACTATTGCTTTATAGACTTCATCCTCAGTTTACAATACTGGTACTATACCAGAGTATACCCAAAGCAAAAAGTGCATCATAATTTTTTGCAGAGTCCTCGAATGATCAAACCAGTCACCTCGCGTGACAGCTCTCATGGCCATGGACATGTAAGACGAAATAGATTCGAAGTCCCAAAACATGACTTGTCGCATCAAGGCAGGTCCATATCGTCCAGCAGAAGCAGGAGAAGAAAGCGGAAAAGCTTTCTTCTGAAGATAATTTCCGGCTCCGTATTGAGTGGTAGTTTTGGGAAGGCAAGTGCAATGCCCATGGATAGTAATGAGCGGGATGTTCCTGAACTTTGGAAAGCGTTCTTATCGTCTATTGTCCTATTTTTTAGCTCGTGCAAGGAGCGCATGCTGCACATCCATTATAATCCTACCATCATTGGCACTATTTGTGGATGGACAAGCTCGATATTTTATGTCTCTTCTAGAACCCCACAAATCATCAAAAACTACCGAAGCAAATCTACACAAGGGATTTCATATTTGCTATTCTTATTTGCTATGATGGGGAACACACTATACACCACGTCAATTTTGAGTGACTTGTTCATTCTTTACAAGTTCGACCAGTATCTTGGAGATGTTAATTTTGAGACGGTTTTTTATGCCCAGCTTCCATTTGTTATTGGCAGCTCTGGAACAGTCTTATTTGATTCCATTATTTTGTTTCAGTGTTGGTACTACAGACCTTCAAAGCTTCAGAATGAAAGTAGACATTATTTGCATGACAGTGCTGATCACTGCCAACATCTGGAACACTTGATAAAGCTGAAGCAGTACCCTACCAACGATCCATCCTTCCCAGGACGGTCTAACTCTGAATCCACGCATTTTACGAAACCGGATTGGTATACAAATGTTTACGGCTCCATAGATGAACCAGATGATTACAGTCATCATGCCTATTCCGGCAACCAAACTACCGGAGAACATTCGTATGTCAAAAAGCAAGGTTCGCAGAACTATCATTCACTAAATGTCTATCAACAAAACTTCCTGCCCCTCTATTCGCCATCTCCTAAAAGAGAGCGAAGTCAACTTAATAATGATAGAGCCTATACTGATACGTCACTGCTCTTGAATCTGGCACTTATTATCCCTCCTCCTCCGCATTATGTATCTTGTGGATCTTCCCAAGGAGCAACTACCATGAAAAATAAAACTGGCATTTCTGGTACTTTTAGTGCTATTGCCAGGTCCTTCTCGCAGTCTTCATCGATGATAAAATCACCGACGATGTCTACATCATACAATAATTCTGTTGCTGCTTCGCCGATGCTCAGCACATCACTTATTCCTTCTATTGTGGGGACGTATTCCTCTGTGTCCAAAAGAATGGCTAATGATTCCAAATTACCTTTTCTGCCTAGTGATTTTTTGAATCTAGATTTGGCTAAAGGCGGTTCCACGGGCCCTTCGAACGAGCAATAGCGATAATTACATTGAATACAATAATAGGTCTATGAGAATATTTACGTAATGTCTCTTTTAACTCTCCATGCACTAGCAGGGAGGCTCTGCAAGTAAGTAGCCTTCTTTTTAACCCAAAACCAAATAATGACTCCCAAAGAAAGACAGATGAAGCTGGTATAAAAATAGCCGTCTCTTATGATGTTCACATGGCCGCCAGATGCTAAACATTGTTGCCTCTGTTCCTCTCTATGGATATCATATACGGAGGATGAAGTTACCATTTCGCATTTGGAAACAGTAAACTTATCGATCAAAAAGAAAATGATCAATCTCGGCCATGTGCCACCATAGTTCGACAAGGTATTTAGCGTAGTCATATATGTCCCACCAATAGCAGGGTCTGCAATTTTAGTATGGAAAGCACAAAGGGAAACAAATTGGATAGTCGACATGAAAGATCCGAATAGATGCTGCACAATAATCAAAAAAAACAATTTGAATGGGATTTTACCGTCTTCTACTTTTGGGAAGAACAACAATATCAAATGAGCCATTGCGGCTGCAATTAAGCGGCCCGCAAACCCAAAAAGCCATGGTTTCAAGGGACTTTTACCTGATGACCATCCACCTGCGTAGTAACCAAACACCATTTCGAAGGGAAAGTCGATCAAGACTGTAATCGACAAATCTTCTTTCGACAATCCTTTCTCCAAAAGCTTCAAATTTGTGGCTGCTTCATTAACTTGGAAGCCAAGTTTAGCAATCAAAAGAATGACAACGAACACTTGGACGTTTGGAAGCTTTAGCACGTTTAACATGGTCAAATAGACATGTTTCAACTCAGACCAATACTTTTCTTTGCCACGTGAAGGTCTGTTATGGTGATCTTCGTCTTTGAAGTGTTCTGCGGAAAGTCTATCATGGTTCAAGTTTTTCAAATGAGGAGGATCCTCAGGGACGAAGAAAATAAATATAGTAACTAACAAGTATGCCCATCCCCAGAATGCAAGGTAACCACCCAAGGAGAACAAACCGGTGTCCTTTGGGGTCTCCCTAAGGTACTTGTTGGCAAATTCGGGAGAATTGAGAGCCAAAAAAACGGTAAAGCTCAGAAAGTAACCGCAGTTCATTCCAATGGTTTGGGCTGTCGAGGCAAAAGGCAAACTTTCAGGTGAAAGGCAGGTCAAAGCCCAACCATCAACAGCAATATCCTGGGTGGCACAAAGGAAAATCAACAAAAAGAAGCAAAAGGTGATGCGGGACAAGTATTGTGCTGGATCTTCAATCAATGCATTAATAACATATCCAAGGTACAACAAAGTAATGCCAGATACAAACTGAACGGGAATAATCCAACTTTTCCGACGACCAATGCGCCGGTCATAAACAGCATCCACGATAGGCGACCATAATAATTTTAGTGAGTAAGGATAAGATGCCAAAGAGAAGATTCCCACCTGAGAAAAGGACACTTTGGACTTTAAGATGAAGGGTACAGATCCAAATGCTAGTCCCACAGGAACACCTTGAAGGGTATACAAGATGATTAGTACGAAGAAGTTGAGCAAATCTTTTTTCGGAAGTCGGGTGGCCATGGCAGGAGCCGACGTGGTGTGCTGTTGGGAAACTGGAAGTAGGCCATCATTTTCTTCACCAAAGGACGGCTTGGTGATGACAAACTTTTCACTCATATTGAAAAGTTCCAATTCGTCACTTGTCAGAGATACTCTCGGCGATACCGCTGATCGCTTATGAACGTCCATTGTACTCAAATTGGCGATTCAAGGTTATCAGACACGATCAGACAGTGTAGAATGCATAGAACATACAATATGCAAACGCGAATCGACTCGGCACGAGAGTAGACCTGTTCTATTTTGAGGTAAGATTACTGTTTCCAACCTTCTAAAATCCTATTTAGCTCTTCAAACCACCATACCGATGTGTTTGCAAAGAACTCGAATGATTCAAGAAAAATTCAAGTACTGTTGATCAGTATTACGGGTTATTTTCTGCTGAATAGCGAATACCATTACAAAAGGTTTTTCAGATGATCACTTTTCTTCTATGTAGAATGGAAACCAGAGAGTTACAAGCCCAACACCTTTCTGGACGCTCTCAACACAATGTCTTCGTTAGGGAAGGCAAAGTCTTCCAACTCCTTAGCGTATGGAGTAGGCACTTCACAACCAGTGACTCTTTCAACAGGCGCATCCAAGTAGTCGAATGCCTCAGACTCCATGATTTGAGCACAGATTTCAGAACCCACACCGAAGGCTGGGAAACCTTCTTCAACAGTAACCAAGTGCTTGGTCTTCTTAACAGATTCAACAATGCATGGCACATCCAAAGGTTTGATGGATCTCAAGTTGATAACCTCAGCAGAAACACCGTACTGGGATTCCAAGAGCTTGGCAGCGTCAAGACAGTGCTTGACCGATCTGGTGTGACCAACCAAAGTGATGTCAGCACCTTCTCTTTCAATCTTAGCCTTACCAATTGGAAGGACAAAGTCTGGCGACAAGGCCTCCTCTGACACTTCAAACGATTCACCGTAAAGAATTTCGTTTTCCAAAAACACAACTGGGTTAGGGTCTCTGATAGCAGCCTTGATCAAGCCTCTGTAGTCCTCGGCGGAGTAAGGCGAAAGCACCTTCAAACCGGGGATAGAACCGTACCATGCGGCGTAACATTGCGAGTGTTGAGCAGCAACACCAGCAGCTGCACCGTTAGGACCTCTGAAGGTAATGTTACATGGCTGGATACCACCGGACATGTACAACGTCTTGGCGGCAGAGTTGATGATATGGTCAATGGATTGCATAGCAAAGTTGAAGGTCATGAACTCACAGATTGGCTTCAAGCCTGCCAAAGCAGCACCCACGGTGACACCAGTGAAACCCATTTCAGTAATTGGGGTGTCAATAACTCTTCTCTCGCCGAAACGGTCGAGCAAGCCCTTGGAAATCTTGTAAGCACCATTGTATTGAGCAACTTCCTCACCCATGAGGAAAACATCGTCATCTCTGTCCAATTCCTCTGCCAAGGCAGTGTTCAAGGCATCTCTGACGGTCATTGTTTTTGGGCCGGAAGCGCCCGAGGCCATTCTCATAGCGCCGGCAACGTTTGCTCTGGCGGCCAACATGGAGGTCTTAGCGACGCTGGACAACTTAGACATTTTTGGCAAAATTTCAGTTGAAGAGTAGTTGTTGGAGAGCCAAAAAACGAGCCGCTCCTAGCACGGAACGATGAGGACCGGGAGTGCACACGAGTACGGAGGTACAGTTCCGGGCTAAGTGGCCAGAGAGTAAGAGTAGATTGTTCCAACAATTAATATTCAAAACCCACACAAAAAGCATGCTTTTCAAGATCACAAGTTCCAGTCAATCTTTTCCTGGACGTTCTTCTTCTTCTTCCTTGTTGTTGTCCATGATGCGTGCCATTCCCCATATTTTGTGTTCTCAGTCAGGGCAAACCCGATCCGCGATTTGTTCATATTGCTGGGTTCGCGACAGTTGAAAGGAAACCAACGCTATAAAAACCACACCGTAATTAACACTCAGAATGAAAATCATAACGTCTATAGAATTGAGGATATTACCTCCTGGGCCAGGGGAAATGTGCAACTAATTTAGTCAAGCTCTGCTGGTTCAACAACTGGACGAGGCATATCTTCCCAAGTCAAATTCGATTCTTAGTGAACTAGGTGCATTGAAAAGGTAACCAAACATTGGTTTGTATGCAAGGGAATTTTGGATGTGATTGTAGGTGTTACTTGTGTTCTATTTTCATTTTCGCATTACTCGCTATCAGTGAGCTTAGTTATCTTTTCACAAGCTGTGCATTAAAATAACGTCCAGATATGTCATATGTACAAACGGTAATTTAGTACACCCAAAAACCAATTTTCCCTTCGCTCTTCAAACATATCAATATTGACTTATTTTCAAAAGTAGCTTTAAGCGACATTATCTCACGTATTTTACAATCAATAGAAGTTTGAGCCTAGAGAGTGAGGTTCTCATGTTGAGACATTTTCAACAAGTTCACCTTATCGTACGAATGTTCAATACAGTAGCCACCGACCCGGGGAATATTGACCCACCACAGCCAGTTTTGTTTGCCCAACGGAAAATGGCGCATTGCCAACTATGAATGGATTAGCAGTAATCCCCGGCAATACTAGGAATAAGCATTTTTCCCCTCCCATTCCCCAACAAGACCGATAATGCCCGGGTTGGCTTGCCCCGCACCCGTACACCAGATAACAGGCCTACATTAAATGATGCGAAGCCATCGCTTTTTCTACTATTAATCACTTTTCTATGTTGCTCAAAACGTTTGCGCCGAAAGTGGCCCATTTGCCATACAGAGCAGCTGCTCAATATGCTAGACCTCTTTTGTCTCGCTCTTTCCACCAACAAAACGCTAATCTTCAAGCTGGATCCTCAATCCCTGCCGAAGCGGCTGATGCGGCTGCTACTGTTCTCTCAGACAAGAGGGACTACGAGAAATTAGATCACAAGGCCACATGGTTAGATGCATTGAAGGAACGCGAGAGACAACTCGCGGACGGCAAAGTTCTTGATTCATTCGTGTACATGAACCCAAAGACAACCGAGGTTGGAGAGAAGACCAGAGCGGAATCCTTTTCCTACCTCCTTCTTCCCTTCAAAGATGACAAGTTTCTTTGTGATGCATACATCAATGCTTTTGGGCGTTTGAGAGCAGGACAATTGTTCCAGGACTTGGATGCTTTGGCTGGAAGAATTGCCTACAGACATTGTGCTCCTGCCGAGCCGGTGAATGTCACGGCTTCTGTTGACAGAATCTACATGGTTAAAAAGGTGGATGAAATTCACAACTACAACTTTGTGTTGGCAGGTTCCGTTACCTGGACTGGTAGATCCTCCATGGAGATTACTGTCAAGGGTTATGCATTTGAAGATCTGGTACCAGAGGAAGTGACCGAGGATACCTTACCAAATGAGAACGTGTTTTTGTCTGCCAACTTCACTTTCGTTGCTAGAAACCCAGTCACTCATAAGTCCTTTGCTATCAACAGGTTGCTTCCTGTGTCCGAAGAAGAGTGGTTGGACTATAGAAGAGCTGAGTCCTTCAACGCCAAGAAGAAGCTTGCTGCGAAGAATAAGGAAATCATCCAACCCACAGACGAGGAAAACAGACTTGTCTACGACATGTGGAGAGCTTCTAAAAGCTTGACACAATCTCTGAACGAGAACTTTCAATTTATGAAAGACACTATCATCACTTCGACTTTGTTCATGCAACCTCAATACCGTAACAGGCATTCATATATGATTTTTGGTGGTTACCTTTTGAGACAATCCTTTGAGTTGGCTTATTGTGCTGCGGCGGCATTCTCTTCTGCTGGACCACGTTTCGTTTCTTTAGATTCCACCACATTCAAGGCTCCTGTTCCTGTTGGCTCTGTCTTGTCGATGTCTGCTAACATCTCTTACACTGAGCATCTCCATGACAAGGATTTTGACTACGCCAGTGAATCTCCTTTCAACTTACCTGCTACTAATGTTATTATGAACAGCCCAGATGCATTCTTGCTGGAGCCTGGTACATTAGTGCAAGTTAAAGTTGACACAACAATCAAGAACTTGGATTCGGCAGAAAAGAAGGAGTCTGGATGCTTCATTTACTCCTTTTTTGTTCCTAGAAGCTCATACCCAGAAGGCAAGCCTCATTATGCCAATGTCGTTCCGCAAACTTACTCCGAAATGATGGAATATGTTGCCGGTAGAAGAAGAGCTCAAGACACAGCTAACTACGTGGCCACTCTCGCCGCTTCTAGAAAGTAAATGTTTTTCTTTTGTTATCTCATGGTTCGCCAGGATTCTTTCTGCTTTTTTTTATCGTTTTCATAACCCGTATCGCAAATTTATAGAGTATATTATATTATTTACCGAAAGAACCTAACGCCTAAATCAAACCAAATAGAATATTATGCAAGATGATGAATGTGAACTTATTCGCTGTCGCCATCATGGATTTGCGCTGTCTCTCCAGGGTGGTTTAAATTTGACTGATGCGCTGATTCTTTCAAGCTAGCCTTTCTAGTAAAATTCACTAGTTTTGCTTTTGGGTCTCTGCCTCCAGCTTCAAGGATGTTCGAATCCGAAAAGTCGGAAAGAATGGACGTCCGAGATGCATTGTGAGCGTAAAGATTGCTTGTGGCCAAAGAATGATTGTTCTTTGGGGTATCCTCCAGGTCAAGGAAGAATGATTCGGTATTTGGGGAAGTAAGCAACGCATCTTTAGAGTTTTTCCAATCAAGATTACCTATTGACTTCTTGATGGCTTGGAAATCCTCACTAGAATCCTCATGATTTTGTACTTCAATGTCAGAATTCGACGGTGATCGGCTTCCCCCATTCAAAAACTTAGCCATGAGGTTATAGCTTGATGATTCATTAGCCGTGCTGTAGAAGCTGTCACCCGTATGTTCATCATGTCCCTCTTCTTTAATGTTTCCAAGTGATGTTGGTCTTGTGGTCATACTTTTTACCGGTGAAGAAGATCCGTGCTCAACAATGTTACCGTCACTATCAAGTCTCTGGAAATTCCCTGATGAATTTGAATTGAACAGAATTCTGTTCTCGAGTGATAAGTCTGATTCTCTTCTCGAGTTGTCATCCACTAGTCTCACAGAGAACAATTTAGAGGTATTGACAGTATCCAGCGAAAAGAGAGATGCATGCTTCTGTTCCATTAAGAATTGCTTTTTAATGTCTGTCAAGTCTGAGTCGTCCATAGCTCGCCATGATTTCATGGGCTTTTCAGCAGCGTCATAATAGTGGCTATCTTGGTCTGAGTCAACGTGTGTGACACTGGAAAGCATAGAGTCCGCGTCATCGTCTATCTTCAATGCATGCAAGGCACCAAGTTGGTGAGCGGTTTCATGATGGTCATCTAAATTATGCGTAACGCCAAAACCTGGACCATTGAGTTCGGGCTCATTTTCAACAGATTTTTCTGAGTCGGAGCTCCCCTTTCTTTTACGAGCAAAGCAACAGAAAAATATGAGTAACACCGCAACTAACACAACGAAAATGGGCACTCCGATTGCCAAACCCAATACAAGCTTCTTGTGGTTATTGTTTTTGTCCTTACCATGCGATATAGCAGCCGAGGCAGTCGTTGATGAGGCGGACGACGATGTAGCATCCGAAGAAGAGCTTGAAGTGGCAGTTGCAGACGAGTATGAAGAGGAAGACGATGACTTGTGCAAACTCTTGTCCACGCCCTTGATTTGAAATGAGCGGGACTCAGAATCAAAGTCCGAAGATGCCTCAACCTTGACGATGGCCAGCTCAAATTTTGAAGGAACAGTTCCTAAAAGAGTATAATTTGATTGATGGAAGGTTAGCCATGTAGAGTTCCCCGGAATCGATACGGAGATCTTGGTATCATTAAAATCCGTGAAGAATGAACGCATTAACTGATATTGAAAGTAGTCGCCTCTCGTAGCGTTAACATCAGGAATTTTGTCGACTGTAAATACTGAGCCAATTGACTCAAAAGAGTAAGGAAGTTGTACTTCATTTCCATAAACGTCTTCAACCAGAATAGTGAAATTGTCGAATGTAGACTTATTTGGAAAGGTCCCCGTCAATGAATAGTGATAATCATCAAAGTGGATATAAGAGGGTAAATCATCCAGGTGGACATTTGAAATGTTATCACGAGTGATCAAGTTGCCGTCCAAGTACACGGAAGACAAAATTGGAACCAGGTAGTCGAAGTCAGAGCCGAAAGTACCATTGATTTTCAAGGATTCATTCTGACTAGTACTCAATTGATGAGCGCCGACAACAAGCTTGAAAATGCCTTCTGCTCCCGTATAGCCATAATAGTCAGAGGCAATGAAGCTGAAGCCGTATTCTATCGATGGAGCGATATCAGATGTCACTCTAGGCACTGTTCCAGAAAAGGTCAAAGAGTCTGCGTCGAAGGACACCCAATTAGGCAAGGAAGTTCTATCCAGTGATCTTCCGTAATAAGCTATAATAGGCATTTCAGCATTATCGTTTAGTTGAAAATCGTCTTTAGAGAACTGGATGGAGAAGTTCTCTCCTTCACGTACAACAAGGCCGTCCTTACCGTTTGTCTGGCCGTATTTCGCAATAGCCACAAACATAACATCGTTGGCAGAAAGCCGAAGACCCGTGCTGTTGGATACAAGCATCAGGTAGTTGCGAGATATCACCGAATTGTCGGCGGAGTCTGTGCCATTCAAGGTGATTTCAAATGTCGACACATCGGACAGTGAGGGCGTGCCCAGAAACGAGCGAGACTGGCTGTCGAAGGAAAGCCAGTGGGGCAAGCCGCTCACAGAGTAGGAAATGGTGCCGCCAGCATTCGACTTGTAAGTTGTCGATGCAAGCGTAAACAGATAGGGTTGGTCAACACGCGCCACGTTGGGCAATTGTTCATTCATGGGCCAGCCGATGTACACGGCGGACGCGTGAGCCAATAGAAAAAGCAAGAGGGCTAGCATTTTCTAATTGACGAGGGCTCAATCAGAGATTAGAAAACAGAAACACGTTGGACGGGGAGGTGGACAAGGAAAAAGGAAAGTGGGAGGTTGAACAGAAAAGGAAAGGAGATGAAGAAGCGCCACGCGAAGAAGAAAAAAAAAATTACTAGGAGCCGCTTAGGGTACGTGGAAAGCTAGAACAGACGGTTATGCACATTGTTCGCAGGAGAAGATGGAGAAGCGTGTTTGATAATAGAACATTTCGCGGTGTGCAGATGGAATGGAAATACGACAGGCATTGGGATGTGAAACTAGCGAAAGACATCGAGCAATAAGTTACTTTTAGGAAAATAGTGAAGTGGTGAATGTTCCCCTCTGTTACTTGTATTAGTAAATAATATTTTTATTTTGTCTTTTTGTTTTTGTTTTATTACCTACTCTTGTCGTCTGGGTCTGTCTCACATATAGTGCGGCTTAGTATTGACGTCAGTCGCGACGCGATTTTGAACGCGTACTTCTTGGCAGGAGACATAAACACGTCTAAAATCGATTGCATGTAATCCGTCCGAGAGGCGTATTAAACCGTATTAGGGACATTAATGGCCCGCATACTGCGAAATATGACAAAAGTATTGCGCGTCTCCGTAGTTTTGGCTCGCGGAATGCGCTTCCAAATGCGGATAAATGTATGTTTCGTTGCGTTCGAGTTCACAGTAGAGTAATCAAGCGTGTCGCTCTAAATATTTTAGACACGAAACTCTAAAGTCTGGGATGCTGTTATTGCGCCCAGCCTCGAATTCATCCGCTTTTTGTGGATTTGAGACTGCAACAATAGCAACTGCGTTTTTGGTATCTTGATTGGGGCTAGTATATTAGTCTGTCTCCAGTATTTTCTAAACCACGTTCATATCCTACTCTTGTAACTAGTGTGGATTGTAATTAGTGAAATTACATAAAAAGATCTTACGCGCATTTTTCGTCAAAATGTGCGATTATGCACAATAAATGCTAAAGTCGTAAATATTAAGGCATTATGGAACTGAATTTTTCAAAACCATCTAACAGACGAAACTTTTATTAACTAAACCAAATCTCTTGAGGCAGATCTCGAATATAATGTAGACCTTTTATCGATGAGGGTTTCAATACAACACCAACATCAAGTTTTCATCTTCAGCAAGATGCACAAAATACACAAAATGCTCAAGCTATATACAATCTCTATTCATTGAATGAGTCCAATCTATTTACATCCACCGAGGCAACCAGTAGATAGCGGCAACAGCTATGTATCCAAATACCAATCCCACCAACTTTTCAGCCAAAGAATGAAAGTACATGTTGGTCATAAGCAACATAAACCACCAGAGTCCAAGAAGACCAAGAACCAAAATGCTTGGATTTGATACCACAAGTGCTCTGCTTTTGGCCATCACGTTGTCCTTATTGGTATTTCTGGTAAATCTAATTATACTCCGGTACAATGATTTCCAGCCTGGCCAAAATGGTTTGATTTCATGAAACATGTAAAGAGACGAGTGTACTAGGAGGAAAACATGTCCCAGTGGATCATGTCCCCCTTCCCATGAGCCTTTTAATCTTCTACATTGGGACGATGAAATTGCACTAGACTCATAAACTCCATCCACCAATGTGAAGAGGTGAAGACTCTCAGTCAAACGAGCCAATTTCTCGGCGGAGACGGAAGCACATTTCCCTCCCGTGAGAACAAAGACCTTGTCCATTATCGGAAGTCCAAAGCACCATTGGGTGAAGAGGTACCACCAACAAGTAGCAACAAGCCATCTCAAAACGGCACCACGTAACACTTTTAAACGAAACCCGGATTTCGATACCTCAATAGTATAGAATAGCGCTATGGCTCCAGTTGTCCACGCCCAACCTTTTTTCACAAACCACTGATTGAAAATGTTGCCCTTATCATTGTAATAGTTGTAGACTTCCTCCTTTTGTGAGAAAACATGAAGCAACTTACCCACGATAAAATTAAGAATGAAGGAAAAGGCAAAGATAAATTCCAGGGTTGTGAGTCGAAGAAATTTCCATTTTCGTGCTGTTTTATGAATTAGAGCCATGTGTCGTTCGTATACTAATTCATTTGAGGACATGATGGCGAATTTGATTATTGCGTATCCTCCATATACGACGATTGCGAGTCACCGCAGATCCCACAAAGAGAATGAAGTACATGCTTCGGCGATGACGATTTATTGTAACACTTTGTAAGATAGACTTGATGCGTAGAAGCCTCCTTTTTTATTCCTTCTATACCTTAGATTTATATACGTATACATTTCACCCAAGCCTGTCAACGTCAATTTCGGGAGGCCTGGGTATTTGGCCCAGTTGTAAATCAGCTCCATCATTTTCCTCCTTTTTAATTTCATTTTGACCGTCAGCTTTTGCTTCATCGTTATCAGTTGATGGATTGAAAACGTCGTCAACGTTTTGCCATTTTTTCACCATATCATTCATCAACGTGTTCATGAACTCAGGATTAACTATGCTTTTCCGGAACTCTTCATTTTGTAATAGCGTAAGAATATGGAGACAGTTGGGATACACAACGTATTTGGCAAATTTGGTCTCCTTCCAGTAGTTCAAGTACTTGAGGTATTCAATGAACTTTGGATCTGATAGGTAATCGTTCTGAGCCAAGTAATTCACATATTGAATATTTGCCAATGATTGGACAAATTCTAGCTCGACTTCCCATCGAGTGGGGAGTTCCTCCATTATACCAAAGATAGAAAATAGAAGATTATTTAGAGATGTAGTAGTATTGCTCCTGGCTGAGACAAATTGGACGAGACACACTTAGCTCAATAGAATAAGAAGTGCTCTAGTAGACAGCTGTATTCGGCACTTTCAGGTTCTTGCTTTGATGGGTGACTATGATTAGTCAAAAGAGTCTTTGGTTTCAGTATTGCAATTTCAGAAGCTTTTCATATTGCGCGATCATATGAAGTACTGATAAACAAATACATCGGTACATTTACACAAACGATTTTCAAACACAATGTCTCGTCAACAAACGTTAGAAAGGGAGCTTGAACAGGTGACGAACCTCAACAAGACAGTGGACTCTTTGCTCGAAACTATACGTACTACGCAGCAGAACATTGCTACCACCAAAAGCGCTACTGATAGCACATCGGCATTACTCGAAGACTGGATTAGAATCCTTAACCAGACGAGTTTCGCCAATAATGCATTGCAAAATCCACTCTGGGAAGGTTCCAAGGATGAAGATATTGAAGAAGAAAATTTATATGTGCTACAACGAGAAAAACAACTAGAAGCGGAACTCAAGGTTCTTGAACAAGAGAACCAAAAGTTAGAAGCAAGACTCCTGACCCTAAACAACGAGCAATCTACAAGAGAGACGAAACGTTCGAGACGTTAATTACTGGCAGAATAAGGAATGGGTTTTAATGTAAAAGTTCTACGGTTATATTTTCATAATACAGTGCATATATTCTTTACAAATATTCCTCTATTGAAAGGTACAACAAAACGTGGCAAGAACCGACATGGTAAAGTACAATTACTTAAGGATGTTTGTGATCAAGTCACCCGAATCCACAGAATCGCTTTCTTTGACTTGCAACTCGCCCACTTTACCGGCAGCAGGAGCACTAATAACCATTTCCATCTTCATGGCACTCAAGACAGCAACAGGGTCACCCTTCTTCACTTCTTGATCCTTCTTGACTCTGATCTCAATGATAACACCGGCCATTGGTGCACCAACATCATTTGGTTGCGTAGCCTTTGGTCTAGTCTTGTTTTCAATTGAAACGTTCTTGTCGTCAATGGTGACTGATCTCATTTCACCGTTCAATTCAAAGAAGACTTCGCGAGTACCAGTCTTTTTCGAGATTTCACCCACAGCCAATAATTTGATAATCAAAGTCTTACCTTGTTCGATCTCAACCACAATTTCTTCGTTGATCTCCAAAGGCTTCAAGAAATAGCGGGTTGGCAAAACGGACAAGTCACCATACTTCTCAAGAATCTTGCGGTAGTCCTCATAAACCTTAGGGTACATGACGTAAGAAGCAATATCACATTCCGTGATGTTTCCACCATAGCGGGATGTCAACTCTTCCTTCACCTTAGCAAAGTCAACAGGAGCCAATGTCAAACCAGGTCTCTTGTCCAACTTTGGTCTCTTATTGCCCAACATGTTTGTTCTCAATGGCTCTGGGAAGCCACCGTATGGAGTACCCATTAAACCTTCCATAAAGTCTAACACTGAATCTGGGAAATCTAACTCTGGTGCCAATTTGATCACATCTTCTTCGGACAAATTGTTGGATACCATGAACTGGGCCAAGTCACCCACGACCTTCGATGTTGGAGTGACCTTCACCACATCACCCAAAATCTTGTTCGCAATCTTGTACTTCTCCTTAGTCAACAACCACTTTTCACCCAATCCCAATTGTTGGGCCTGGAAGAGCAAGTTAGTCAACTGGCCTCCTGGAATCTCGTGTTGGTATACTTCTGGGTCTGGACCCTTCAAATCTGCTTCGAAACAGGAGTACAATAATCTCATTTGCGCCCAGTAATTGTCCAACTCTCTGACCAAGTCCTCGTTCAAGCCGTGAACAACTTCGCCTTCAAATGAGGCAAGTAACGCACTAATGGAAGGTTGAGAGGTCATACCAGACATCGCATTGGAAGCAGCATCCACGACATCAGCGCCTGCTCTAGCAGCAGCATCCATACTTGCAACAGCAGTTCCAGCCGAGTCATGTGTGTGAACATGAATTGGCAAGTCTGGATATTTGGCTCTTATGGTGCCTACTAAAAGAGAAGCAGCCTTAGGTTTCATGGTACCGGCCATGTCCTTGATACCCAAAAAGTGAGTTCCCATTTCGACAATGTGGTCCACAACATTCATGTAATAATCCAAATTGTACTTCTTGCCCTCCTTCAACATGTCACCAGAGTAGCATACTGTCGCCTCCACAACACCGCCAGCCTTTTTAACCGCATCAACACCCACCTTCAATTGCTCCAAGTCATTAAGAGCATCAAACACTCTGAAAATGTCCACTCCATTATCCTTGGCTTGTTTAACAAATTGGTCGATGGCATTGTCTGGCAAAGAAGAGTAGGCGACACCATTCGCGCCTCTTAACAACATCTGGAATGGAATGTTTGGCACCAACTCCCTTAACTTTCTTAACCGAGCCCAAGGGTCCTCGTAAAGGAATCTCATACTGACATCAAAAGTGGCACCGCCCCAGCACTCCAAGGAAAATGCACCGTTCAAAGCATAAGCGGTTGTTGGAGCAATGTTTAACAAGTCGACTGTTCTAACACGGGTGGCCAACAAAGATTGATGAGCATCTCTCCAAGTGGTGTCTGTAATCAAGGTACCATTGAACTTTCTCACTTGCTGTGCGAATTTCTCGGGGCCAAGTTCGAGAAGAACCTGTCTCCAACCTCTTGGTTGAACAGGACTGTCGACATCAATGGCAATACCCGTTTGCGGATCGTGTAAAACAGGAATCAAAACATCAGTCGTGAGCTTAGGAACGCCCACTTGTCCTTTGATTGAAGAACCGTTGACAGCCAAATCTCCAAGGTAGTTTAACAATTTCGTAGCTCTGTTCTGCGAAGAAACCATACGGAATAAAGATGGAGTGTCATCAATGAAAGTAGTCCAGCAGTCACCATTAATAAAAGTTTCGTTGGTAAGTAAAGTCAACAAGAACGGAATATTGGTTTTAACACCTCTAATTCTGAACTCAATCAAGGCTCTCAACATCTTCCGTCTGGCAATCTCATATGTGGAACCAGAGCAGCTGCACTTCACCAACATCGAGTCGTAGTGGGGGGAAATGACGGCACCAGCAAACCCGTTACCACCATCCAATCTAACTCCATTACCACCAGCAGAACGATACACTTCGATCTTACCAGTATCTGGTTGGAAACCTTTAGCTGGATCTTCGGTAGTAATTCTGCACTGGATCGCAAAACCACGCGTAGTGATCTTGTCTTGTAATAAACCCAATTGTTGCAAAGAAGCACCGGCGGCAATCTGGATCTGGGCAGCAACAATGTCAACACCCGTGATTTCTTCCGTAATGGTGTGTTCAACCTGAATTCTAGGGTTGATTTCAATAAAGTAGTGTCTATTTTGCTCGTCCACAAGGAATTCTGCAGTTCCTGCGTTTCTGTAGTTTGCAGACTTTGCCAAAGTGACAGCATCAGTCAAGATAGCATCTCTGACGGACCTTGGCAAGTTCTTAGCTGGGGCAATTTCGACAACCTTTTGATGTCTTCTTTGCACCGAACAGTCTCTTTCAAACAAGTGAATAACGTTCCCATAGTTGTCGGCAAGCAATTGAACTTCGATGTGCTTTGGCTTGTCCAAGAAACGTTCAATGAAACACGTACCATTACCAAAGGCTGTTAAGGCCTCAGATTTTGCTCTGTTGAAAGCATCTTCGATGGAGTCGCCCTCCCTGACAACTCTCATACCACGTCCACCTCCACCGAAAGCTGCTTTGATAATCACAGGATAGCCATACTTCTGCACGAAAGCCACAGCTTCTTCGGTCGTGTCAATAGGGCCATCTGTACCTGGAACAACAGGTACGTTGTTAGCCAAAGCCAAGTTTCTTGCTGAGACCTTGTCACCAACAGAGTCAATGGTCTTGTACGAAGGGCCAATCCAAGCGATTCCTGCTTCCTCGACTTTGCGGGCAAAAGTGGAGTTCTCCGAAAGGAAACCATAACCTGGGTGAATCATATTGACGTTGTGTTTCTTAGCAATATTGATGATTTCGTCAATTTGCAAGTAGGCTTGCACAGGTGAGTATTGTCCTTTTTTACCAATCACGTACGACTCGTCGGCTTTCAATCTGTGCATAGATAATCTGTCCTCATGGGAGTAAATGGCAACTGTTTGCATCGACAACTCGTGGGCTGTTCTGAAGATTCTGATTGGAATTTCACCACGGTTGGCCACAAGAATCTTGTTCATGGGACCCAACACCGTAGATTCACTCCTCATTTGGTTGATTTTTCCTAAATCAGACGGTCCGGAAACAGACATGTTGAAAGTCGTATTGGATATCTGCTCAATTGAAAACTAGAGGAAAAGAATCTCGTTGCTCAAATGGAAAATACGATACTCCTGAGTTCAAACTGCAGAGTGAGCAAATGAAAATTGGATGCCTGTATAATGAGTGATAACACTAAAAGCCGAGGATTGGTTGGTGTGCCGTCAGCTGTAGTAGTTCCCTTTTTCGTTAAAAGAGTTGAGCACAGAATCTACGAAAAAAGAAAGGAAAAGAGAAAAGAAAAAAAATAATACCAATAATCCGTGGGGGTGCTGTTGTCTTTATATACGCTTACCGAGCACTCCGATGACTCAAGAATATCATTTAGTACGAGAGTGGTGCGACAAATTCCTGTAGATAATTGGACAAGCATGCAAAGGAGATTCAACACCGAACGCACAGTAAAGAGAATGTGGAGACGAACAAAAGACACGCATGGTAGTATTTAATCTATACCATGGGTTTTATTGTCCTATGCCATATTAAGTACCACCTTCACATGGTGGAAACAAATGAGTTGATTCCCATATATCTAGTTGGCCAACTGGAAAAATGCATTGAGACTGACGTCGATCTTTATTATTGTCGCGCAACCCCGCGATATCCTTCAAAGCCGTTTCTTCTCCATTGATCCGTAGGCAGATGTGTTTTGAACCCATTGCTTATTTCATATCACTCAGGCATGTCAGTATATTTGTCTTGGTGTCGTTTTATTGTTCTTATGAGCTTTAAGGTTGCTTGGTAGACCGTTTCCTCGCTTGCTCCTTTCCATCTGGTCGCGGACTTGAGTCATGAAAACTCCGAAACAATGTGCCGTCCGTGAATCATAACGCAAGAAGCGAAAGTTGGCCTGTACAGTTTTTGATTGGTTTGCGATAGGTGGGGCTACGCTTCGGCGAATCTTCGGGCCGCGCTTCAAAACTTTCCTTTGCTAACAATTGCACCCATCTTAAAGACGTGGGCAGCAAAGGTGGGTTGTTCATCAACTTGGATCACTCAAATGACAAATTGCTCCTACCATTTGCATTCCACCTAAAATAAAGCATTACGCTTACGAAGGTCGTTTATGCACACAAAAAAAAAAAAAAAAACAGAAAAATTAAGGTCTTTGAGTTAACGGAATAATCGGACGATTCTTGCCCACCGGATTATCTTACAAGAATATTTTGAGACGCAGGTGGCGCATATGGAATCAGATGCGAATAGAAGTTTTTTTGGACCACGGACAATAACCACCGAAGTGCAAAATCACGTTATGCGCTACGGAAAAAGACCAATAGCAGACCAGAGCGAAATCTAATGTGGCGCGCCTAAATCTCATGCGCGCAGCTGATCGTGCGACGCAAGTTTTTTTTTTTTTTTCCTTCCCCTCCATTAGAAATATAAAAGGATGTGGGAATTTCCCACCATTACAAGCGTAAAAATTATTAGATTGTAACCATGCTTAGAAGATTTTCTACCTCTGCTGCTTCTGCTTTTAAGAAGGAATCCGTTCAGCAATTCAGCAACTTGGCCAAGGCCTCTGCCACACCTAAGAAGTGGCAGCCTACTGCTGGTAACTCTTTCAGATCTTTTGCTGAATACAGATTGAAAGTCGTTAACCAATCTCCTTTGAAGTTGAGATCGCTTGCCAAGAAGGGGAACTGAGTTTGCCGTTTCGTACAAAGATCCATAGTTCTGGTAACTTATATGGTTTAGTGACGAAACAATTGCAGTCCACTCTGCATCAATGCTTTTGGCTGACTTTTCAATTCTCCCGTAATGTTTACGACGATATGTTTCACGTTTCAATATATCATTTCTAAAAAGATTTTCGTAGTCACTCGTTTATTCAAACAAGGGCCGTTTCCATCCCGCTGGCAATTTTGTGAACAGCCTTCAATTTTTTGGTTTGAAGTTCTGCCATGCGCTTGGATTGTACATGATTGCGATTTGAGCTTATAGCCGAACGCCTGACTGTAGACAGTCATTGATTACCCCTCCCGATATCGGTCACCGGCTCAAACAGTTAAGGGATGATAAGACCGTGAAAGACAAATTTCTCCTCTACTGCTCCCAATTCCTCCTTTTCTAGAACGCTCAATTGGTTTTGCAATTGCAATTGCATTCTCTGAGTTTTTGTATGGCGCGGAGAAACGCGAAAAGAAAATTTAACCAAGGAAGTTTTTCGTGCCTGGAATGCAAGGTTTCATTCCACTACATGAAACTATCTAGAAAAGAAATTATGAACACATGTGGATTAGTAATTCTCTTCGGACTCTACCAATATAGAAACCAACCCGACAGTAGAGGACCTTACAATATTCGCAAACGTCATTAATGCTGACATATGAATATCTCCTCACGTGCCATTGCGCACAGAAAACGCAAAGTGCGATTTTCACGTGACATAGCACAATCAAGGGCTTGCTAGTATGAGGAGGTCTGGGTGTAAGCATTGATGGCGGTTATCTGAACGCACATTTCCTGTATACATGTTATTGTACTCTTAATATCTTCGCTAAGAGAAGGAATTATAGACTCCACAGTCACCCTCTTGCAGCGACTGGGAACATTACACATTGACGTTGACAGCCACAAGGATTATAAATAACAAATCCCACTTTAAACAACTTCCTCCTTATTCGAATTTATCTAAGCAACCCTAGGCGCATTATTTTCATTTGCTTGACCTAATATTCGCATCCAAGCTTCCAGCTCTGACAAGTTGATTCAAGAATGCCAGAAACGTCAGCCGCCTTGATAGATCAATTGGTGTACATCGATAATTTCCTTAATAATGGAACAGGAGATACTCCCCAACTAGATGTCGATGGACAACTTTCCTTAGATTTGGCTGCATTTGCTGACGATTCGTTTATTTTTCCTGACGAAGACAAGCCTAAAGACCCCTCAAATGGTGACAACGACGAAAACAACTTCACTTCCAGTAATGGTCATAATGACAAAAATGTCCCTGAAATGACTTCACCTCTTTTGAATGATATTAGTACGTCTTGGTTGAATTCCAATGAGCACCACCCTCCTTTTGATTACGACAGCGCTAGGCAAGCAGGCCAGAAAGCTCTAGCTAGTATAAACCTGAAAGCAAGAAATGGGGCATATCTTGAAAATGCACTTAATGCAAATGACCAAGATCAAAAAGATGAGAGAGCCGCGGAGGCATCAGCTTTTCACCAAAACTCCCAACTGAACGAACAACGTAAACTGCGTCAAAGCACAATCAATGAAATTATCCCCGACCTTTCCCATGTGCCAAAATTCCCCGTGCCTCCTGGTGCAGAGTCGTCGCTCAGACAAGCTGGTTTAACGCATAATCAAATTGATCTTTTGTCTGCTTTGATTGCCCAGCATCAAAACTCACTCGGTAGGTCTATAAATGGAAGCAAACTGGGAGAACAAACATCATACACGCAGAACGATCGCTTAGAAGATGTCAAGTCACATATTGTCGAAACGCCGACGTTGCTCTCGTCAAGTGGATCAACAGTTGAAAGAAGAAACGATGACAACGGGCAACGAGTAGCGCAAAGAGGGAGATTGACCAATGCTGTTGAGAGTCCAGCAAGTATTACTTCGAACTACAGTTCCGGATATAGTAGTGGAGGTAACTCTGTCCTTTCCACTCCCCAAACGGCGTCTCGGGGTAGTATAAGTGGAGGTAGCAATGGCAATAATGCATATAATGAGCTTGACAAGAGGAAAAGAAACACAGCAGCAAGTGCTCGGTTCAGAATTAAAAAGAAAATGAGGGAGAAGGAGATGGAGATCAAGATTCAGCAATTGGACGACCTAATCAAGGAATTTGAAATCAAAATTACGGAGTTGGAGATGGAAAATCGCCTTCTCAAAAATTTGATTATCGAGAAAGGAAATCAAAAATCAAGCCAGGAATTATTAAGCTTGAAGGAAAAGGCCCAGCGTAAATAGAAAACCATCGGGAAGGGCGAATGCAGGCATTTATTATCTCGTTAAAAAAATTGTATTCATAAGTCATTACTATTGACGCTAATCTATAAATTCTATTGTAGGGCAATTTTTGCCTGTGCCTCGTTTTCACTTTCTTGTGATGAACGCCTCCGCTGGATGATCTTTTTCGTTTTGTTCCAACCAGAATAGTCCTTAATGTTATCCACAATAAATGTGATGGACGAGCCCCGGGAAGATGAGCGAGAAGAGGGTTTGGATGGTAGAGTAGATGCAGATCCATTCCTGCTACCAGCAGGAGTTGCACTTGAGTCGGATGTGTTGCCCGAGCTGGAGTTAGAGCCTCTTGACTTCGACTCCACCTCTTCCAACGCTTTTTCCCAGTGTTGACGAAGTTCTTTATGATGAACACAATCGGCAACTGAGGACCGACATAATCTTGAACTATGGGCCATAGGTTCAAAATGCACAAATGCTGGAGATTCTGGAGGAACCGCTTCCAGTCTTCTTCTTCGAACACTGCTGTCATGATTGAGTTCTCGCGTATGACTGATAAACTCGTTGAAGCTATCTAATAAGAGCTCGTATATGACACGGCGAACTTGAAGAAGTTGACCACGCGAAGGTAGCACAGAGGCATGGAGATCGACGCGAAGCGTATATGGTATGTTGACTTCCATCTCGGAATTCTGGGCAATAAAGACCGAGTGAAACTGGCTCCAGCGGCGCTGGAGATGATCATTAGCCCGTATCAGATTGTCGTCCAAAAGATGTTCTTGGTGCACTGCGTTTAGCAGCAGGAGGAACTTGTCGATTTGCACGGTGAAATCAAAATTCTCCGAACAATGTGTAGCGTTGAGAAACTGGACAAAGTTGCACCGGTTGTAAGGACCGCAGTCTTGGAGGCACGAGTGCCCCGATAGGATTTCATCTAGCGTAGGAATGATATATTTCGGCCGAAAAATAAATGAGTCCATGTTCAAAGGAGATAACTGGAATTCCCCAGATCGGAAAAGGTCGGCACCGACGGAGATAAAGTGGCCACTAGTTCAGACGGAGACCAGTGATGGTTGGTGAAAAGTGAATGAACAATGAAGAATCAAAAGAAAAATGAAAAGCAAAATACTCCAAACCACTGTACACGGAGAAAAAAAAAAATATGAGAAATGGGTGCGGTTTTGAAGTCAAGTCAATCTCGCTGGGGTAGAGAATTATGAGCACCTTTCTTTGCCCGACGGACATGACATGCTAACGGTTGTGCGGCTTAAAAGCAAACATACCGTCGCGCGATAACACACTTTTACGTAATCACCGATTGTGGAGTCTCCACAACAAACATGCCTAGGGGATGTTTTAGCTTTCATTCAAAAGGATATGCCGTTTTTTGTTTCCATCTCGCTCGGTGGCCAGGTCAAAACCTTCTGTCGTTCGCCCTCGTATACCAGCCCGATAGAGCATTATGAGCAAAACCGAAGTCGCTCTAGTATGTGCACTACATACATCCACATGGGCAGTCCAAGCCATCGCGCTATTAACGAGAGTATTTTGTCCTGCGCACAGCCCGGCCCGGTTACCGTGTACCCTGACCATCGCCACTATCAGTCCCCGCTTCATATGCAACGGTCGAAGAGATTACGACAGCCCTTGCCCGTATACGGAAATAGGGGCCCAGGAGTTGGCAGGAAGGTGCGTTTGTGTAATGTTAGATAGAGATTGTGCAGAGGAACAAGATAAAGGGCGCAATTTTCTCGGCCGAGCCGAGAGAGCATATTTCTCTGCGGCCGCATCGGCGATTCAGGCCCAGCTGTCTGTCTTGAGATTTTTTTTTTTTTTGCTTGAATTATCGCGCAAGCTAATTTATCTCAACCACGTTATTATGCGCTGCTCTCAATTCCAAAACGTCCTGCGCCGGCTATACTTGCACCTTTTATGTTTTTCGTTCGCGGTCTCGCCAAGCTTTCCCCTCCAACGTATATGTGGTGGTCATGCCTCTGTTTTCTGAAATATGACCCCATATCGGCCCCAAACGTAAACGTTCAGAGGGTCCTATGCTGGTGGTCCTTACTATCATGCCTCAAAACACATTAATCTTCTGTTAGTGGATGCTCTACCCAGTCTCACTTGGATGAATCGACATGTCTCCTCAACGTATCTCCATGCCATATCTCCACACCATATGTCCATACCATATCTCCATAAAATATCTCCATAACATCTCTGTTGTTCTCTTTCAAGTCTCCTCCGTCTGGTCTCTTCATTCCAACATTTCGCTCGTTACGCTAGTAGCCTCGCTGTAAAGATGACGTTTGTGTGGAAAAAAGCTACAAGATCCAGTGTGTATTCCGTGTATTCTATTTGCTCGATGGAAGATTGCTAGAAACTGCGTGGTGAACAAGGACCAAGCCCACAGAAATTATGCCAAATGCCAAAACGATAGTGTTCAACTCGGTGTCTGTGATCATTCTTTGTTGAAGTAGTTACTGATCCATGACAACTTCACACGTCAGTCGGTGCTGGGTCTTTATGCAGGCACCAGCACCAACTACTCACCTCGTCTCCCAAAATGTCGGTGCTAGTAGATCTTCTCCAAGAAACACCTTTCGGCTACGTAGAATGTTTTTGTTGAGCAGTAAAATGTGCCCTTGCCTTGGTCTCTCCCTTGTTTTGTTTTCTTCTAGGATAGACTCAAGCCTGTACTAGACGCAAATCGCAAATGCTCAACGTTTCACATTACTACTACGAGTCTGAATTACTCTTCATGATCAGGAGTTGCTGCTATCATTGTATTGCAAGTCCTTTATTTCTATCTTTCCATCACACCATCAAGTACGGATTCGCTTGGGCTCCACCATATTTGAGGGGTACGGGTGTGTTTTGCATGTCAATAGCATCACCAAAATTCCTCTTCCCCATAGATACATGGCACCATCATCGCTAGAAGAATTACTATACAGGCGGCTCATGAGCTCGCCTGCATTCCATGCCTGGGTAAGACGGGTTTATGCACGAATCAATAGAATTCCAATCGAGCAACAACCCATAGAGATGGGCGGGCTGATATCTAAGAAAGATTACACGCCCACGAGGTGGCATAAGATCAATGCAGCACGAATAATATTCTGGGATGAGCTTAAGAAATCTTTTACATTCCGAAGTTGAAGTGCACTTCGATTGATTTGACTGAACGGAAAGCCATCATATGCTTTCTCGATCTCGCATTATTCTATATCAAGCCCCATGAATCGTGAGATCCCAACCAGTTGCAGTCCCACGGTATTTGTTAGATGAAAAAAAGACTGTCAATGCAGGCCTTGCAGTCATTTCGTTTTCCCAAGAGAATATATTCTATTTAAATCAAAGGCAGCTAATGGACACACTCAATGATGAGCTATCAATATCTTTGCCTCGCACAATGCATCAGTAAACCAGGACCGCAACAACCAAAGAAATAAAGATCCAGCACATAATCATTAGCCTCGCGTATCGAGGGCGTCATAATATTCTTCTTCATTATCCTCTACCACACCCTCATCATTATCTTCCTCATCGGCTATTCCACCTGCAATAGCTTCCTCTTCATCGTCGTCGTTATCATTATTATCATCGTCTCCATCCTCTTCGTCTTCTTCCTCCTCTTCGTCATCTTCATCATGAACCTCTCTGGACCCACGATTATACATCTCCAATGACGACCTGAAGTTGTCCCATGAGGTGAAGCTTGAAGCCCTCTCGTCAAAATCCTTCTTAGAATCATAGAAGAACTCCGAGAGCTCATTTATACTTCGAATCTCATCCGAAGATTTTTGGTATTTCTGTTCATACATGCATCGAAACAACGTGAACAAAAAGTGATCGACATCAGATGCCCTGATATCCTCATCAATAAAGAATTCAAATTTGTCCCCCAAATCACCATGTAGATCCTTCCAAGAAATCACCCTCGTGCCGTCATGCTTTGTGTACATCCGTGCATTCAAATCTTGTGTTAGATAAAACAGTTTTTCATCTTTGCTTCTGAATTCTTCTGATAGTCCTTCATTCCCGTCGTCTTCATCACTATAATCATCTGAAGACTGTGATATTGATTCCCCTTCCTGGTATGCTCTGACCACTGTTAGCTGAAACAAATATTTGGTTGTCGTTTCCTTGATACTAATGCAAGCGTCATTGTATAAACATTCCAATTCGCCTTTAGGCAGTAGAGGAGAACGTGAGAGGAATAGTTTTCCTAATGGTATCAGTGCCAACTCGTCCGTCGGTGACGCCCTTAGAAACCTTTTCAAAAAGTTCATTGATAGACAAGGTTCTGATAACGCTCATTTTGCTTGTATCCATGGGTATGCATACAGGATTAAAGACCATCTTACCGTCACGTGCATAATACCATAAAGATCTATTTCTGTGATATCTAAAGCAGTCGAAGTATTGTGTTTTTAAAAATCATTTGCCATTTCAATTATTTCCTCCTCCAGATGGTCTCAAAGTTAATTCTGATGTTTGAATAACGAGAAACCTTCACTGTGATACAAATAGTACCATAATTAAATCCCCGAACATACAAGAAAAAAAAAATCAAAAAAGTTCAAACCTTCAATTTCTAATTGATTGCATCAATACTCTCAAATGCTAAGAAAGTATCAGTTTTGAGGATCTAATTTGCAATTAGCAACTATATGATAAGGCTTGAATACATCTCCCGGTATATAAGCTCTCAGTCTGCAAGCGATGCCACCTTTTTCACACAGCACAATTCTCAATCTGGTTCTGGAACCAAAAAGATATGTGGACAACCCTCAGAGCACAGGTGTCAAAATCTTACGATGTACTATGGAGACGATATTCTTCCAAACCCCTAAGTGCTGAAGAGATATTCAAACAAAAAGCCAAGCAGGCAGATCTCAAGCGAAAACAAACTGCACCAGAGTGGGTTAAAAGAGATGAAGCATTACGAAGACGGTACGGTAAATGGAATCCAACTAGGAAGCTATCTAGACAACAGATCAATGATATTCGCAATCTTAAACTACAGTATCCTGCAATGAAGACTAAACAGTTGGCGGACTTCTTCCTGATCAATCCAGAAAGTATACGTCGGATCTTGAAGTCTAAATGGGAACCTACCGAAGAAGAATTAGAAGATATCAACAGGCGAGCAGAAAAAAGAAAGCTTGCTAGCCAGGAGAAGAAGGCTGAACGCATACAACAAGTTAAAAACTCAATGGCAAATGCTCCTCAAATCAAAGGAAACAAGAGCTATTCAAAAAAACACAAGGATTTTAGCAAACGAAAGGAAACATACTCAAAAAAGCCTTATACACCAGGAGTAGGGGATTTTATAGATTAAATTTGTACATAGACTAATGAAGTGACGATTACACCCGTACCTCACACTATCCGAGGTAGAGTATGATTCCCCACATAACCTAGTTCTGATATTCTATCTTCAATTCATCAATCTCATTCAGTACTTGCCATGGCTGTTCCAATATTAACCATTCCTGAAAGTGCTTTTGATCCAAGCCAATATGTTTCAGCACGTCAAAAGAATAACCTAATCACATTTTTGTTGAAACTAGTTAGAGGATCTTCCGCCCTTTTGGTACTTATGTACTTGGTTGGGCTTTTTGGTATAAAACCGCTCATGGAGGCAACAGCTCTTCAGAAATTGGACTTTCTTGAAAAATGCAGAGGAAGCTTACGAGACTTATATCTCAACATAATTGGTAAGGTCAACTACATACCGATAGTAACGGTCAACAAAAACAATGGATGCAGAAAACTATACGCAGATGCCATTTGTCAAACAGACGAGCTTGTTCAACCTACTGAGTCCGAAGAAACTCAATCAACGCTTGGCATGAATAAAGTTGCGTCAAAGCTACAAAGCTTGCTCGACTCTTTGAATAACTGTACGACTTTACTGACAACTGACATGCCCCATTATCGTGTGGTAGACTATACGCTCAAAGATTTCAGACAGAAAACCGACATGCTGTATTTTAATCAACGGAACTTTTTCTCTGGGCCAACCACACAGAACGGGAAGAAGCAGGTGCAGAAGAATATGGCGCAAGAGGTGAAGACAGATATCCGGGGAATTAAGGGTTTATACATGAGTGGATTAGCATAAATATGATATACATTGAATGTGTGTTTCCGTGCATCAACTGATTGTTCAATTTCCAGTTAGTTATACATACTGGTACTGATCTTCCATAGGAAGTACTTACACTCCTCTGTATTAATACGCACCTAATTCTAGTCCATAATACATTCATTCATTTTAAAATAGTTGGATCCAACAAGCAATAGATAGCTAACTAATGAGTATCTTATGCGTTGTGTTATAAGTTGAGTCTGTTTATTACGAGATGTTTTTCTTCGTTCTCTTTCTGTGCTGGCAAGTATGAGCGCTAATAACTGCTCAAGGCTCCAGATCAGTTTGAAGTTATTATTTTGCGACCACATGGTAAATCAGTACTGCTTTTAATAGAGCCCTTAGCGTATGGCTATTTTGGCCCATGATTTTTACCTATTCTCCTCAGTTGCGATATATGGTAACGATATTAAACACGCTTTTGGAAATCATGCGCATTAGATTGACTCTTCGACATTGATAAAACTGGAGTAAACACAAAATATATCAAGTTCTCTGTGAGCCGATTCTTGCATTCGTTATTTCAGGATCTACTTCGTAACCTAGTACTTGCCATATCCAGATGTTCGTATTTGCAACAGGTTGTTGTGTGCTGGTGTACGGGTGTCCCCATATATACTTGAACCATTCGCAAATGATTGTGAACTGAACTACTATTCTTAGATGCCACCAAAAATCGCTATCAGTGACGACGAGTCTGAGGGGCAGATAAATGACCTTGTTTCTGAATCAGATGAGTTGAGTGATGTTGTATTGGATGATGACGAAGACGATGAAGATGTTGAAGAAGACGAAGTTGACGACTTGGCTGAGGATTCAGAAGAAGCTTACGAGCCAGAAATAACAGCGAGACCGCAACGTTCAGGACGCACACGTGAGACCCGAAAGCGGCAACTAGCATTTTACGAAGAGGATGAAGTCACGGAAAGTGAAGATTCTACACCCCAGCATAAAGTGTCAGTCAAATTGAAAGTGCCTAGGCGTCGGGCCGATGAATTGAGTGAAACAGAATCTGACTACAAGCAAGATATGCTGAGGATGACAGAGCGGCAGCGAGCAAAATTATTGGATGACGAGCTGGAAAAGTATGAGGAACTGATGTTTGCAAAGATGGATGAACAGCTCCTTAGTTTGAACCGTAAAACGGCCAAGAAGAAGGAAACAGCTGAGCAAATGGCATTACGTAAAGCCGAAAATGCTCGTCGCCGGGCTCACTACAAGACGAAACAGCTCGAAGAGGAAAAACGTGATACCTTGAATAAGTTGTTGAAACGCCGTGCCACAAAAACGCGAGAAAAGCCGTCGGACGAAGTGCCTGAACTGAAGCGGACCCTTAAGCCTCGCAGACCGCAAGCAGCACATCCTGCGCTCATTCGTTGGGTATGTAGACCCAGCCTGTCCTTGATCGGGCTTCCCGAATGAGTGCTAGAATACTTTAGTGAAGAAGTTTCATGAAACAGATATCAACGCGCCCAAAAATGGTTCTGGCTTACTCGATTCCTGCCATTACGTGGTAATTATATTTTTGCTTCAACCTTTGCGCCTATCAGTTTGGGGCTTTCAATTTTTTCACACACTTCATGAAACCTCCCAAACTAATTAGACTGACGATATGGACATGCCTATCAATTATGCGTTCGTATGTCTGCCATTAGATTAGTGTGCTCCAGAAGTATTGACTTGCATGATCGACATTAGTGTCATCCATACTTTTGATACGATTGTGAATCTTTGATATTGCAACAAATTGGTGCTCTTGCTGATTATCTACCATGCAAAGTGGCGATAATTATGGTGTTAGATTTTCAGAGCGAAAAATGTAATTTTAACAGCCTGAATAAAGATAATCTATAGCATAGAATAGAAATTATGCAACCTTCATCAAAGAAAATGATTGAAAGACCGCTATATATACCAACTAAGGGATTTATGCATGCGGATATATCGGTGAAGTGTAATCTTCAAGTTAGAAATCTAGCCTTGTTGGATCGTCTTTACTTCTCACTGACATTGAAGGTGCGGCTGAAATGGTACGAGCATGGTCTTTGAAGCACCATATAATTAGCGGATTTCGTTAGACATATGTTACAGCGGAATCATTGTGAGCCCAAATGATAAAGAAACCAGCGTAAGAGATAGGCGATTTGACATAACGGTATTTTTCAAATTTTTTTTTTTTTTTTTTTTTTAATATTCCTTTTTTTTTTTTTTTTGCGCCTTCTTTCTGCTGGCTGTTTACCATTTTCCCTTTAGTATTTTTGACACAGACGATAGTGCTAATTCGATTTTCAGTAGTCTCTCCACTGCCCAATTTCTGTCTTACAAGCTTTTGCCCATTTTATAGCCCCTTAAGTTTTCATGGGGCCCTTGCCCAAATGTCCAGACTTCGATGGTGTGCATGTATGTCGGTGGAGCGTTTAGAGCTGCATCTTTACCAAAGGAAGAATAGGTCCAAATGCCGATAGCTGTCGGAAGGTAAACTCGGCCACCAACAAACAGAAGCAGGAACAAGAGAAGTGTAAGAGCAATCCGATGTCAAAAATCGTAGCCAAATTTTCACACTACATGGTAACATGGCCGTGACGCCTTTATTCAAGTATGCGGGTAGTATATGCACCCGCCGCGCGCCAGAAAATTCAACCTTCGCTCCCTGGCTCGTTTTTCCGACCTCCAGTGTCTTTTGTCTTGAGCTTCTCATTCCGTTGTCTCACTCATCTAGGCACCAGAACTGTGCATTATCATTTGTGGTCACCAATTTTTCTATATTTCATCCTTTAGGAACAGTTTGCAGCTTTAACTTTCGGCCTCGTGCGGCCTTAGTTCAATCATCAACTAGACACAACAACCGCTAGCTCCCGCTCAAACACGTATACCAATTCCATTTTGACACTTGGTGAGGAAAAAAAAATTAATCAAAAGAAACTTCTAATCACCACTCGCATTTCCATTTAGCATAGCCCTGCTACGTGAAAAGATGGATATCAATATGAATTCCATGCAAGCCATGCCCTACAATCAGGCCATGGTTCAACCACAGTTCCAGCCACAGCTAAATGGACCACAGCAACAGCAACAGCAGCAGCAGCTACAGCCTCAACCACAACATCAGCAAATTCTGGCTCGCAACGTGGCCCAGGGCTCTCCTCCTTATTATGCCGGGCAGTTTCCCCAGAGAATGGCTAATGTGGTTCCAAACGGCGGTCATCAACAAATGATGGCTGCTGCCGCTGCTGCTGCCGTAGCAGCTGCTGCGGGCCAAGGGCAGCTGCCGCCCATGCGAGCTCGCAGGACTCATGTGCCTACTCAATATATGGGATCTGTTCCAGAGGGTGGAAAACTTCCTCAGGAAGCTGCAGCGTTCCAGCCAGCGCAACCCTTTAAGGTACAGCAGATGCATCCACAAATCATGCTTAAGCGGCAACAGCAGCAACAACAGCAGCAACAGCAACAGCAGCAGCAGCAACAACAACAACAACAGCAGCAGCAGCAACAACAGCAACAACAGCATCCACAACAGCATCCTCAGCATCATCCGCAACAACAACCACAGCCACAGCAACTGTCTTCACAACAGGCACCACTACAACAGCCTCCTCAACCCCAGAACCCTCAGCCGCAACCTCAACAACAGCAGCGTCGACCTCCTATTCAGCGGCCCCAGAGTGCACAGCCTTATCAGGATGTCCCCAAGGGCGATCGGGCCGGTCCCTCTCCTGGTGCAAACGGCCAAAAGAATCCTCTTAGCGCAGCCCAGAATGAAATTAATGCAAAAATCTACAAACGCAACTTGGGCAACGCGGGTGTGATGCGAATCTTGGATTTGATAGATCTCGTATCGAATGAACTGAGGGAAAACCTCTCCAGCATAGACTTCTGGAACCGTCTCGTCTACAGCTATTTTTCGTCCACATCTGTGATGCGTTTTACTACTACCGGTGCGACAGTAAACCAACCTATGACAGGATTACTAGAGGGTTTTGCACATGGCCTGGAGCCGTATCTGTACGAGCTCAATGCAGCAACAGCACCGCGGTTTCTTTTGGCAGTTGTGTTGGCCCAAAATGTGGCTACGCACCAAGTGACGCTTCCGGGAATAAAGTTCCAAGTGATGAATAACGGGTCACTATTTATTGTTTCACGACTTCAAGCACTTATAACATATTTGGATGGGTCTGTGGGTAATTTACAAGGAACTTGCCGCATTCTCCTCAGCAGAGATTTCCGAATTGAATGGCTTGATTGCCGGTGTCTTAACTACCAGAGCTCCATCACTATGCGGGCGCTCGAAACACACTGGGCTTCATTTGATAATACGCTGGGAGGCAACTTTGTCGAGTCACTAAGTAAAAATAGTGAATCGGTGAGAGCAGCATCGAACTCAGGTATTCATCCGAATGCTATGCGAGTCATGCAACTCGGGAGTCTCATGTCATACTTGAAGCCTCTTATGCTGTTTGCAGCAGCTAATAACCATGCGTCACCTCTTCTGGCGCTCGAGAAGTATATTGCGCTGGGTGCAAATTCTCGGAATGGCAACGGTGCCGTGTCAAGTCCATCACCTCGGACAGTGGCAGCAGACGAACCGAAGGCTCCAAAAAAACGTCGTACTTCGTCCTCCCTTGAAAGCCCGATGGTGTCAGGCAGCAAGTCTTGACCCTTGGGTCCTTTATCTATCTCATTATATTTAATCGCATACCAATCACGAATCGAGACATGGACCAATTTTATGGTGCCTTTTTCTTATCTTAACAACGCTGTAATGATAGACTGCTCGCCTGCACATATTTGCAATTATGTAGTATCGCGCGTCTTGTAGATACTGTTCTTCGTGATCTACGAATGCACATATGGCCGTTTCAGGCACCCCAAAACTGACTCTACTTTCGAACCTAGCACGTCCACTTCAAGAAATTATCCGCCCGCTGTCATTAAAAGACTATGTGGGACAAGAGCATCTCATTGATAGCGATGACGGCGCTATATCCAGCTTTCTCACTTTAGGCATTCTTCCTTCTATGATTCTTTACGGGCCTCCAGGTGTGGGCAAAACTACATTAGCACATATTCTAGCGGCCGAAACCAATCATGTGTTTCTTGAGCTCTCAGCTACAGATTCAACTATTGGAGATATGAGAGAAATCCTGCAAGCAATTAGACAAGAGAACGGAAAACGGGATCGCCTGGGAGATTTGCATTTGAAAGTAGTTGTCTTCATCGACGAGATCCATCGTTTCTCCACTACGCAGCAAGATTTTCTTCTACCGTTCGTAGAGGCCGGAGACTTTGTATTCATTGGTGCTACTACTGTGAACCCCGAGAAAAGAATCCGCCGTGCCATTCTCTCTCGTTGTCAGCTTTTCCTGTTGCGAAAACTTGACATTCAACACATTGTGAAAGTTCTCCAGAAGGCATCACTCCATGAAAATATCCGGCGCAAAAAGTTGAAAGGGCTCAAGTTCATCCAATACAGTACAGAGGCTTTTCAATTGGTGGCCTCGTATGCTAACGGCGATACGCGAAGCGCAATCAACTTCATTGAACTCATCAGTTCTCGTATGGAAGGAGATGATTGGTTGCTTAGTGAGAACGAGTATAAAAAACCTGTGGATATACATGTCGTTCAGGAAACCATTAATTCATTGACAAAAGTTCGGCTTGGTTTACAGCACCAGGAGAATGAACCAATTGTGGCTGCATTATTCGATAGCATGAATGGAGGTTTATCGGCTTCGAGTATCCTTCCTCTGAAAGGAGATTATGTTCTTTGGAAGCATGAAGACAATACCTTCTTCGTTCGAATAAAACTCAACGCAGTTACTTTTGCAGTATCTGATCTAGAAAGCGATATAGATGATGTGCAATTTGGTAGCGCATGCAAGGAGAAAATAATATCTCAAAATGGTTCAAGTAAGGGTATGGAGCCGTGGGTGGAACATGTCGATTTCTCAGATGATAGTGATACGGAGCCAGGTCCCGTTTACTCTGATGATGACGAACGTTTTGTTCCATTAAGTACTCGCATTTCTTATTCGAAACACAGAAAACTCACCTCAGTGCATTTGCTTCTTCAGCTTTTGAATAAAGGCGAGCAACCAATGTTTCTAGCCAAGCAGCTCATCTTGTACGCTTGTGCATATACCGATCCGGTGTGTTATGAGTTACCCAAATTATTTTCTACTAAAAAGTCTATGGAGAAGGCAAATGTTAATATTCTTGCACTTTTAAGCGACTGTGTACAGAGACTTTCAAACAGCCGAAAATTGCAAACGCCGTCATTAATTGAACAATCAAAGGCAATACGATCGTTTTTACAGTCCAATAACAGTATCGTTGAAGAAAATGTGATTCCTTGCGCCGATTTTCCTATCATTTATGACGAGGAACTTAAGTACAATTTACTACATGATGCAATGCATAAGCCTAAGGGTGATGATCTGCTTGACGATATCGTCATTGTTGATCATGTTGATGATCATTATACTATGGGATTTTAGATTAATTTAAGCATTTAGTTAAGCCATTTATTCAACTTGTGTATTTCAAAGATCTCTTACAGGACTATAGTACAAGTTTTCGTGAGAGAATTATGCAGGTTACAACAGATGCTAGAAGAGGTGCCGAGTTCGACATATTAGTGTCCAGCATCCTCATCGTCCAAAGCAGCAAAAATATTGGATGCCATGGAGTCTGTTCTCTTTGAGTTTTCTCTTGGAGACATGGTGGAAGTGGAAGCACTTTGCTCTGGGACCGGTCTGTTGGACTGAGATCTCGAGACAGACGTAAATCCTCTAGAGTCCTTAGTAGGCGCTCTTGGTTCCTTCCTATTGCCCCAAGATGAGCCACCTCTTGTGGAATTAGATCTGGAATCGCCACTGTTGTAGTTACCGCTATTGTAACCAGACTTATTTTGTCTTCTCTTCTCAGCCAGGGCCCTGCTATCTTCAATTCTCTTCAACTCAGCTTCATTGTGAATTTCTTTGATAGTCTTTGGACCAGCTTCCGACTTTATAGACTTCCAATTACTCTTTCTCAAATCTTGCAAGTCCATCAACATGAATCTGATTCTCGAGGAGATCTTGCAGTTATCCAAGATTTGTTGGATATTGTCGTAAATCATGTTCAATGCAGCCTTGTTTCTGTCCGAAGTTTCGAATCTTGGACCAACAGTCTTAATTAATTGTGCTAAGTTCTCCAACGCATCTTCCGATGGGTCAACGACATTCTTCGATTGGTCTCTCAAGCAATGCAAAATGACCTGATCGTTCAACATATTCAAAATGTACAAGTTACCAATGAATTTCACCAATCCAAGACCTCTTCTCTTGGCAGCAGCCATAGCATAGTATTCATCAGACATCATCTCTGGCTCCAATGGAGTACCATCGGGGTTAGTTGGAAGCTTGTCAACCCAACCCTTCTCATACTCAGATTGACATGTGCCCACAAGATTCTTCTAGCCAAATCACCACCAGTGGCTGGCTCACCAGTCTTCGTTAAAGTGTTCACATCCTTAATGTCGTCAGAGATTTCCTTCAACATCTTTGCACAGAATTGGGCATAGACGGTAGACCAGTATGGCTCATCACAAGCCTTGGCAAATGTTAATGAAATGACCTGTTTAATGGTCTTGGGCGTCCTCCTCCCAACGAGATTGTTTAGCAATCGTCAATAACTCTTCAGTGATTGGTTCGAACATTTCCAAAGTCAACTTGTTCAAAGCTGACTTTGTCTTTCTCTCAACATCTTCTTCATCCAACATGATCGAGCCATCTGGTGCAGTCTTAACTTCATCCTTCTTAACTCTAGATCTTGGAACCCATCTATTAGCACTTGGAACCAAAGGTTTGACTTCTTCAGCTGGTTTATCGTCCTCGCGGTCTCTAGAATCCTTTCCTCTCTTCGATTGGTTTCTGTTTCTGAGAGATTTGTCTCTTGGGCCACCAGCATTAGAGCCTCCTCTTCTCTTTGAGCCGCTTCTAGAATTCTGTCTTCCGTCAAACTGACCTGGTCTGCCCGACATAGAGCCGAATCTTCCTTGCATTTGGTTGCCAAATTTGTTGGAGTTCATACGTTGAGAACCAGAAGATGATCTCTTACCGGCCACAATACCTAAACCTTCAAGTTTTTCTTTCCATGCGTCATCTATTGGGTATTGCACAACTTCACGGAATTGAAGCAAGAATTGTGGATCGTATCTGTATTTCTTTTCGCCAGCTTTCCATCTTGGGTCAACACCGGCCAATGGGTATGGGTAACTAAAAGAAAATGGGTCCTCGATAGGCTTAGCTTTTTCCAATCTGGAGAAGTACATAGAAAGATCGAAGACAGGCTCGCTACTCTCCTCGTGTTCAGGATCTGCGATTTCCTCATCCTCGTTTTGTGGTTGAGCGTCAGCCTCTCCATCATTTTCGTCAGCAACAGCAGTAGACTCCTCTTCTGGCTCTGCTTCCACTGTCTCTTCAGCTTCCTGGGTCTCAGCCTGTTCTTCAGCGAGAGGTTCTTGTTGTTCAACTGGAGCAGCACTTGCTGTGGCAGGTTCGACGTCTTTTTGTTGAGGCTCTTTGACATCCAATGGTTCTTCAACCACATCTGCCACCTCAACCGGTTCCTCCTTTGGTTTATCTGAAGTGGAATCTATAGGATTGGAAGATTCCTCTGGAGCTGTTTTCGTCGACTCTGTTGGTCCATTCTCAATGACAGGCTCCACAGGAGCAGATTCAGTTTGTGCAGGAACCTTAGCTTGTTCTTCAGGAGCTGGATGAGTTTCTTCAATTTGTTTAGGTTCTTCTGTGGTACTAGGTGCAGCAGCTTCGACAACGGCGGGCTTTTCCTCTTTCTTCTCAGCAGTAACCGAAGAAGTAGGCACATCCTTGTTGGATGCGGAAGCTTCAGCCAAACGCTTCTCCTCTTCCTTCTTCAACTTGGCGAGACGGGCCTTCTCCAAAATTTTCTTTCTGAACTCTTCGGCAACCTCATTAGACTTGCTCGAAGCAGGGGCTGGAGCGGCAGCTGGAGTGGAAACGGATGATGCAGAAGTAGGGTTGGCAGCCTTTGGAAATGGTGCGTGTTCAGCATCCACGGCTGGAGAAGATGATGCAACGGAAGAGTGAGATGGGCCAGGGGAGGAAGCGGCCAGAGCCTTTTTCTTCTCCTCTAAATCAACCTGGCGACCATCTTTGTCTGTAATCTTGACTTTCGCGGGCGTTGGCGATGTTGTGGCCGCATAAGGTTGCATTGGAGAATGCAGTCCCAGTTGTGGCTGGTAGTTAGGCATGTTGTTCATGTTAGGCACCATTCCGTTACCGAATGCATATGCGTAGTAGTAGGTACCATACATGTTAGGAGGGTATCCGTAGTTTGCCGGCGAATACTGGCTGTTATGGTTTCCTGCCTTTTGGTTGTAGTTGCGGTTTTTGTAGTATCTACCGTTGGAGTTGCCCGAGTAATGCTGCCTATTGTTAGGGTTGGCATTAGCGCCTGCGGCTGGGGCCTTCCCAGACGGATCATTAGGGGTGGTCGCGGCGGCGTTGGTGTGTTTGTTGTGAGGCTTGTTCTGCGTGCCTGGCGTGTGATGCTGTGGTTGCTGAGACGCATTTTGGCCCTCGGCGGACAGCAGTGGCAATGGCTGCTGTTCCATAGGCGGTTCTGTTTTATCAGCCATTATTGGAGAGTTAGATCCAGGAAGGTCTAACGGGGGATGGAAATGAAGCGGTGCTGATGACAGACTCCTGAGATTTTATATATGGATATATATAAAAGGGAACTTTGGATTGTTGGCGAGATGACGTCCTAGCTTGCAAACAATTAACCCAATAACTAGATGCAAGAGGATCGAAGATGGACGCTCAACAAAGGTTTCTCCACGGAATAAAGGTGAGAAAGGTGGTCTAGCGAGAAAAGTGAGGTTCCTAGGGAGCGAGAAAAATACCACCCATGTAAAATTTTTCAAACAACTAGTGGGCGCGGCACGACCGTTCACCGTTACGATTCTAGTGGCAGAATATAATGAGGCAATTAGAGGTCACGTTTTCAGTCGTTTAAGGTCTGGGTGTTGGCAGGTGGCAATTCTTTTTGGTCATTACATAGACGTCGTCTTGCGTTTACTGTGGGATACGGGATCGCATTTAAATTTAAAAAGGCACATTCTCTGTTGTAGCTTGTCACATCAATGCGATATGTCGATCTTGTTTGTTATATGTAAGTTGCACGGTGAAGTGTATGTACGAAGCTTAATTGATAGATGCAATGATCTATACTTCAATGGCTTTGGGCAATTCATGTTTGTCTGTGGGTGACCGTAGCCTGCAACGGAAGAACAATTCTGCGGACTCGTGCCCATTCGATCACGAAAACTAGAATGGCAAAAACGCTCTAATCAAGAGCCCCGCAATACAGAGTAAGAATGACCATATAATTATCTTCTCCTTTGTAGACTCAATCTGATAGCAGCTGATCAAAATGTCGTGGTGGGTAGCCTTCTCTGAACACAAGTCACTTTTCTGGTCAATGCACCATTCCTTGGTGCACAAACCACATCTTCCAATTTCGGATATAAACTGCAGCTCACCGCATTGACACTTGCAATACTGCTGATAACATGTTACTAAGCTAAGGCAACATGTCAAGACAAGCAAGCTAACTTTCATACGGATAGTAATGATTCGTACAAAAGACCCATACACCGCAACAAAAGCGTACCGACATGAAATCTTTACGAATTTTTGGAAGTCCCAAAGGAATAGAAGAGGCTAAAAAAAACTACATGGATAATAAGATCGTTGTTTCTCTTGTACCTTTAGTGCTATTGTTCCCTCTTTTCAAGTATTTTATTTCTTTTTTCATATGCTTCTCGAATGCTCCTCTTGTCATGTATGTGGTCCGTGGTCTGTTGTCTCAGAATTATGCGTAGTCCAACATGGCAGTACCCCATAAAAAGAAATCTATAAGAACATCATGATTCTCTCTAGCATATCAGAAACACATTTGTGAGTCTATTAGCGTATCACGATTGGTTTTACTTCGATCATTTATACCTTCTTAGTGTTGGTTGCTTGCCTGCAGTTCAGTGTTGGTCGTGTGCGTGCCATAATCCATGGGAGGCGAACCAGACCATAGACGCTCAAATTGTGAAGCGATTCAAGAACAAGAGAATGGCCGCTGTCGACACCCCATATGTCCACGAAGGTGGTATCAAGCCATACTTTGCCCAGCAAATACAGGATACTGAGATCAAAATCCAAACAACGACGCAGAACTTGCGAAGATTGGAGGCCCAGCGTAACAAGTTGAACACCAAAGTGCGCCAGCTAAAGGACGAGTTAAGACTTCTCAGAGCCTGGTCTACGTTGGAGAAGTGGTCGAAGGTCATGGGACTTAAGAAAGTGCTTGTGAAAGTCAATCCCGAAGGAAAGTATATCGTGAATGTGACCAAGGATATTGACATTAAGAAGTTGACGCCATCGTTACGAGTGTGTCTTAAATCGGACTCCTACGATTTGCACAAGATCTTGCCCAACAAGGTGGACCCATTAGTGTCTTTGATGATGGTTGAAAAAGTCCCAGACTCTACCTACGACATGGTTGGAGGTTTGGACAAGCAAATTAAAGAAATTAAAGAAGTGATTGAGTTGCCTGTCAAACATCCAGAACTTTTCGAGAGTTTGGGTATTGCCCAACCTAAAGGTGTGATTTTGTACGGACCACCAGGTACAGGGAAAACGCTTTTGGCTCGTTCGGTTGCTCATCATACAGACTGTAAATTCATTCGAGTTTCGGGATCAGAGTTGGTGCAAAAATACATTGGTGAAGGTTCTAGAATGGTGCGTGAACTTTTCGTGATGGCTAGGGAGCATGCGCCATCCATTATTTTCATGGATGAAGTGGATTCCATTGGTTCTTCAAGAGTGGAAGGCTCCTCGGGAGGAGATTCTGAAGTTCAAAGAACCATGTTGGAATTGCTCAACCAGTTGGATGGTTTTGAGAGCTCTAAAGATATCAAGATCATCATGGCCACAAACAGATTGGACATCTTGGACCCTGCATTGTTGAGACCTGGCAGAATCGACAGGAAAATCGAGTTCCCAGCACCTACTGTGGCTGCCAGAGCAGACATTTTGAAAATCCATTCGAGGTCGATGAACTTGACTAGAGGTATAAACATGAGAAAGATTGCTGAGAAGATGAATGGGTGCTCTGGTGCTGATGTGAAGGGTGTATGCACGGAAGCAGGCATGTACGCTTTGAGAGAAAGAAGAATCCACGTGACACAAGAGGATTTCGAGCTTGCTGTGGCCAAGGTCATGTCTAAAAATGATGAAGGTGCAGTGTCCTTGGCCAAGCTTTTTAAGTAAGTTTCAAGAAATTAATAGATGGAGAATTCCACTTGCTTCTTGTACATATTGTGCGCGCGCATTTTACACGTAATTAAATTTGACACACACAGAGGCTGAATCCATAATCATTTTTCCCATTCGAGAAGGCTTAAATTAGCACAAGTGCATCTTCTGACCTCTATTGCAACAAGACACATTATAAGTCGGTCCTTTAGTACATGAATCTCTCGATGAGAACCTTTGTTCTATCTTTCATCTTGTTATGTGCCACTGCATGGGCTCAAGAATCTTTGTCTCTACGTATTCGTGAGACGCAAGACCTATTGCTAAGCCAAGGCCCTACAAGCTCGGTCCTAGATCTGTATGACTCGCTAGTCGCAGATATAGAACTGGCGGAAGAAAAACTTGATATGGCTGTAATTGCTCAGGTGTACTATAAAAAGGCATTGGTGGAACTCAGCTTGAGCAAAATTCTGCCTGCGGTATCCGACTTAATCAAAACATTAGATTACGATCCTACCTTGGCGCCTGCATCTCTGAAACTCCTTGAACTATTGTTGGAGAGAGGTCAATTTGGCGAAATCAGACTGCGGTTTTCTACAAAAGATGCACCAGATGTCTTTGCAAAAATGGATATGTGGACTCAGCAGTATGAAAAGGTGGAACAATATCTTGCTGATAAATCCAGAATGAGCCCAGAAGAATGTTTAGAAGTTGTCAATCAATATTTGATCCCGGTTACACCTCTTTTTCACTCCGTTTATAATCTTCATTTGCAGTGCAGCAAAAAGCGAGTTGCAACTCTCTTGGGAAAAGATGGGGATTCTGCTGATTTATACTTTAAGGATATCATTGGCGACTATTCCAAGATTTTAAAGTTGCAACCACAAAAGAATCTAGAGCTCTACAATGAATTTGCCCAATACGCATTATTTACTGAGAATTTGTTTCTGGAAAGTTGGAATGTCGTGAAAAGCTGCTTGCGTATCAATAACGACTTCAAATCATGTGCTGATCTTCTGAAGACTTTTTCAAGGCTTCAAGGAATATTTAAACCATTGGAAGAGTATTCACAGGTGTCTGAAATGTTGTACTTTGTAAAGGAAGATCTCAGAGACAAAGTGGAGGCTCTTGAAATGGATGATCTTGATTACAAAGACATTTACAATATTTTTGAGAGCCCAGTTAAACTTCCCAAGAGAGAGGCAGCCAAACTACCTCGTTCAGTAAAATCATCCTATGACTACCTCATTTGGAAGGCGCAGCAATTTGCGCAGTCTGAATTCCATGACCAGACCACTTCTTCGGCTTTGAAATTTGTTCAAGACCTTAACAAATTTGCCTGTGAGGCTGGAGTTCGGAGTGGGCACGCTAAAAATAAGTTTTGCAAATTGGTCAACGAGAATGAAGGCCTTTTTTTGCCTAAGCACTTGGCCAAGATTGATGAACTTTTGCAAAAGAATAAATTTAGCGAGGCAAAAGAGCTCTTGTTGAAATTCAATAAAAATGTGCGCAGAACAGCTTTGTTCAAAGAGAGGTGGCTGGCTATTGAAAGATTCCAACAGCGCCAGCAACATCAGCACCAGCAACAACAATTCCATAGACAGCAGCAACAAAGGCAAAGACAACGACAACAACGTCATGAACCACAGCATCAGCATGATCCGAGCAAAGATTATTACAAGATCTTAGATATTCCAAAGGATGCTGACGAGAAAACGATCAAAAAAGGCTACAGAACACAGACCCTCAAATATCATCCTGACAAGTATAAAGGGAAGGATCTTTCCGAAAAGGAGATTGAAACTAAAATGCAAGAAATCAATGAAGCTTATGAGGTTTTATCTAACCCCCAATCAAAGGCTGATTACGATAACCGTAATCACAGACCTCAAGGGTCTGGCAGACATGGTCTGCGTAATAACGGCGGGCGGGAATTCGTGAACGTTCAATTCAACCCACAAGACTTCTTCAGACAGCAGGGCTTCCATTTTGAGTTCTAAATTGTTCTTCTGTGGCATATATAGATATTACATTGCCATTAAAGGGTAGGGCATTGGTATACAAAAGTTACTTTCTGGTTTTCTTGTAGTGACTATGACTCACTTTCTTTGCTGAAGTTTTCGTTTTTCGCCTCGTAATGAAGAGGCTCGATAGTACATACGAGGATGTACTGTACATTTCTGAAGCTGCAGGTTAGCCGTTGCGGAAGTACGAGATAAAGAGGCTAAAAGGTGCTGAATAAAAGTCATGGTAGCAGACCAGATAATATATATACTGTCCAATAGTTGTAATGATAGGTTGCTATAAAATAGCGAGAACCAGATTAGGCACTGCCAAAATCGAGAAACAGGATGGCTAGTCAATGGACTCCAGGGTTATAACTAACCTACTGTATACGACTGGTCTCTCTTGACGAGCATAATACTGTGGCTCTGGAGTCGGTCAACTATGCGATTACAGAAACTAGGTGAACACTCATCTTGGCGGCACTACAACAAAATTTCGAGTGAAACAGACGCCAAAGGAACAGTAAAAGACAGTATAGCATAAAACGAACGTGTATGCACGCGAGTGAAAGTAGCTACCATTCGTTCAAAACCGTTGTAATAACAAGATGTACGGATGTGCCGTATCTATAAAGTGCGCTTACTTCTCTTGTCCGCCCAACACAAAACCAACCACAGTCTAAATTTCAGATGAGGTTAGCTGCGACCACGTTGCTTGCCATTTTGGGCACGGTCAATTCATTGCCCGTGGGAATTGAGTCTGTTATTGAAAAATCGCAAGATGTTCTTGCCATTGGCGACCAGGTCAAGTCTTTCCCTTTTCCTTGGCCTCACTGGGGTAAGCCAGAGATTGACACGGAAAAATTGCAATCTGATATCACGGAAGAGGGTTTGAGAGAGAGGGCTGAAAAGCTTTACTCCATTGCAAAAGCTTCGACCGACGAATTCGGACATCCGACTAGAGTCATCGGCTCTCCAGGTCACTGGGGTACTGTGAACTACATTTTGCAAGAGATGGAGAAAATGAGTGACTATTACTCTGTGGACGTGCAACACTTTGACGCTGTTTACGGGAAAGTCAACTCTTACTCTCTTTTGATTGACGGTGTAGAACCAAAGTCCTTGCTGGCTTTTTCCTTGACCCCACCTACTCCACATAAGGCTCCGGTCCACGGGAACTTGGTTTTAGTAGAGAACTTCGGCTGTGACATCTCCGACTTCCCTGCAAACATCACCAAGGGTAACATTGTTTTGATTGGAAGAGGTGAATGCGCTTTTGGTGTGAAGTCTGTCAATGCAGGCAAAGCCGGCGCTGTTGGTGCTATCATTTACGATGAGGACGCTCCTTTGCACGGCACTTTGGGTGAACCTACTGGTGACGAAGTACCAACTGTTTCTATTAGCAAGAAAGACGCCCAACACTACATCGACGTTTTGTCCAAAAAACCACACCATCAGTTCGAAACTACTTTGTTTGTGGACTCGTACGTTAAGACCATTAACACCATCAACGTGATTGCTGAAACCAGAGGAGGTGACCACAACAATGTGGTTTCTTTGGGCGCACATTCTGATTCCGTCACTGAAGGTCCAGGTATCAATGATGATGGTTCTGGTACAATTTCTTTGCTTGAAGTTGCTAAACACTTGTCCAAGTACAAGGTCAAGAACGCAGTTCGCTTTGCTTGGTGGGCTGCCGAGGAAGAGGGACTTTTGGGCTCATACGCTTATGCTAACTCTCTCAGCGACGAGGAGAACCAAAAGATTCGTCTTTTCATGGATTACGACATGATGGCTTCTCCAAACTACGAGTACCAAGTTTACGATGCTAACAACGAAGACCACCCAGATGGATCAGGCGATTTGAAGGACCTCTACATTGACTGGTACCTTGCACATGGTTACAACTACACATTGGTTCCATTCGATGGAAGAAGCGACTACGTGGGCTTCATCGACGTTGGTATTCCAGCTGGAGGTATTGCCACTGGTGCTGAAGGAGTCAAGACCAAGAAAGGCGCAAAGAAGTTTGGTGGAGAGGCCGGAAAATGGTTTGACCCATGTTATCATCAGCTTTGCGATGACTTGAAGAACCCAGACTACGAAGCTTGGGTTGTCAATACGAAGTTGATTGCTCACTCTGTTGCCACTTACGCCAAGAGCTTTGATGGATTCCCAGAAAGAGATGTCAAGAACGTGGCCTCAATTTCTTCTGTCAAGCCTAGCGACACTTTCAAGTACAGGGGCTCGAAACTCATTATCTAAGTATGCTGAAAAGGTTCTGGTATGGAAATGGTTGATAATGATTGATAACTCATTTCTCCAGATTACTGGATTCATAGAAACATTTCGAGCTTCTGCCAAGTTCCAGGTACTGAAAGAAGCTTTGCTTCTAGACTTGAAAAGAAAATGCACACTAGTGTTGAAGAAATTCATTGCTACAAATAGGTGAATTGTAGGACAGTAGAACCGATTTTCAGAATATCTGCATGTTTATACTGTATAATGCTGTCATATTGCCTTTGAAGTCCCCACGAAACGAGACTTATCGCGTGAAGGTCGATTGGAATGCATGCAAACTTATTCAAATGCATTGGGGAAACTAAACCGCTTTGGGGTAATATTTCTGCCACAAATATTCTTGTTTTGACTGGTATTTAAGTGTTATCTGTATATGGACGCATAATAGAGCGGATTCCTGCAGCCACGGTTATCTGTAGTAAACTGCGCGGAAATGCAAGACTGATAAGAAGCTTGCCTTGTCTATCTAAACACAATGAAAGCCCTTCTGATGAAGGTGAGAAAAGTGAAAAATTAAAGCATAGAAGCAGGCAATAAATCTTAACGCATCGAAAAACCTGTCTACTGCAAGTGTGGGGGCAGAGAGCGTGGGGGATAGCTCCTCCACGGACTATATGCACGCACCGTTCTCGCGAGTATATAAGGAGAGCAGCATTCCGGTTATAAATGGCCATCCGCAGCGGTTTGAGATCGATTTTCTGTATTCATCATGCCTGCAATCAAACCAAAAGTCCTCAGACTTGGTCCTTGGGACCACAGCAAGAAGCAATGGGCCGAATTGGCTAAGGTTGCTGACATTATTGATTGTGACTCAAAGAACAGAGAGCAATTCATCAAGGACTTGCAAGGCAAGTATTCGGACGTGACCAACATTGCCCGTACTTTCTCTTCCATTAGTCAGACGGGTCGTTTTGATGCCGAGCTTGTTTCTAAGTTGCCCAAGTCCGTCTTGTCTGTGGCCCACTGTGGTGCAGGATACGATCAAGTTGATCCGCAAGCATTGACAGACCGTAACATCCAGTTGTCGAACGTCACCACTCCGGTTGAAGCACCTACCGCGTTGACCGCGGTCTACTTAACTTTGGCAGCCATGCGAAACTTCCAGGCGGGCCATGACGCCATGGTTGAAGGCAAATGGCCTTCGCAGAAATGTGCCGGAGCTCAGGTGGGCTGGGACCCGCAGGGCAAGATAGTTGGAATTTTGGGCATGGGTGGCATTGGTCGGGCTATTCGTGACCGTTTGAGGCCATTTGGCTTTGAGAAGATCATTTACTATAACCGGTCTCGTTTGAGTGCCGACTTGGAGGAAGATGCAGAGTATGTGTCTCTCGAAGAGTTATACTCACAAAGTGATGTGATCATGGTGAGTGTGCCATTGAATGCGAACACCCGCCACATGATCGATGCTGACACCATCAGCAGTATGAAGGACGGTGTCATTATTGTGAATACAGCGCGTGGTGCTGTCATTGACGAGGCGGCTATAACTGAGGCATTAAAGAAGGGCAAGGTCGGCGCCTTTGGTTCTGACGTTTTCGAGCATGAGCCAGAAGTAGCAGAGGAGTTGCGTAAAATGCACAATGTGGTTTCTTTGCCTCACATGGGCACTCATACTTACCAAGCCATGGAAAACTTAGAGATATGGGTTGTGGACAATCTCCGTACTTATTTTGAGACAGGAAAAGTGAAGACCATTGTTCCTGAACAGCTGAAAGTGGACTTTGGTCACCTGCCTATGCTCTAACGGTTTAGTGATAGAACATGTCTAGTGCAAGCATATAGCTAGTTTGAGATATCTAATGCAGGGACATACTTAGTTCAAGAAAATTCCAGCGGGAAAAGCATACCCGTGTGACTAGGCCAGAACTTGGTCTGATTATGTAACGATGTTTGGAGAGACGTTCAGCCCAATGCAGGGAAGTCCGTGGTCGGAGTGCGGGCGATAAGAGAGTGCAATAAGAGAACGCTGAGGCCCAAGTTTTGGCCTATATTTATATGAATATGAGTTCCATTTACTTGTAGTTGAGAAAAGACAAAGAAAACTTGTATGAGGCGGTCTTTCTTAATTGAACGCACTGCTTCGGGATGAAGCCGACACAATCTCCGACCTCTGTTATATAAAGTCTCATTCGAGACCACAAACAATTAATAAGCAAAAATACAAGAACACGCATAGAGTGAGATGAGTAAAGATCTTTGGGTCTAGGCTCCTCATCTGGAACAAAAGCATTTCAGATTGGTCACCATTACTAAACAAAATTTCGCTAGCTTGGGGTATGGTCCATCTTGAGTGCCAGCAACACCTCGCACGGCTTTTCTGTGCACGGCCGCACTGAAAAATTCTCGGGTCCGACGAGCCGACTCTCCATCTTTCCGCCAGAGTACTCCCTCTGGGTCAATTATTTCTCTGCTTGTGCAAAACTTTCTAGCGCCACTGGTCTATCTTGCAAACATCTGCTATCTGTTGCTGTTTTTCTCTTTGTCGTTGGCATTATTATTCTTCTTCTGATTCTACCATCCAACCATGGCAGACCATCCCCACCAACTTGGGGCTGACACACTTGAAGTGGACTACGAGGCGCTTCCAGAAGATGCCAGCATCATCGCCCATCTCTCTGCTGGTGCCTTTGCTGGTATCATGGAACACACAGTGATGTATCCTATCGACTCAATCAAAACCCGAATGCAGATTATAGCATCAGGCCAGGCGTCGAGCCGTTCTGTGATTTCGTCCATCAGCCGCATTAGCTCGAGTGAAGGTGCCTATGCTTTGTGGCGTGGTGTTTCTTCTGTCGTGATGGGCGCAGGTCCAGCACATGCCGTGTACTTTTCTGTTTTCGAAGCAACCAAAACCATGTTGGTCAATCGCCTAACAAACTCTTCTTCCACCAAAATCGTCACTGACGAGAGCCATCCGTTGATTGCTTCTGGAGCTGGAATTGCTGCTACTATCGCCTCTGATGCTTTGATGACGCCGTTTGATGTGTTGAAACAGAGAATGCAGGTGGGCAATGAGGCGAAAGCATCTTCAGTCAAACTTCTTCTGACTGCACTTTCCATCTATAAGACAGAGGGTGCCAGTGCATTCTTCATCTCTTACCCAACAACTTTGTTTACAAATATCCCGTTTGCTGCGCTCAACTTTGGTTTCTACGAGTACTGTTCGTCATTGTTGAACCCTGAAAATACTTATAACCCATACTACCACTGTGTTTCTGGTGGAATTGCTGGAGGAATTGCTGCAGCCTTGACCAATCCCTTTGACTGTATAAAAACCGCTTTGCAAACAAGAGGCATTTCAACCAATGAGTCATTACGAAACGTCAATGGTTTTAGCAGCGCTGCAAGAGCTTTATACAGACATGGTGGCTTTGGTGCCTTTATGCGAGGATTGAAACCCCGGATCATATTTAATGTGCCTAGCACTGCCATTTCGTGGACCGCTTACGAGATGGCCAAGGAGGTATTGTTAAGAGATTAGGATTGCGGACATGTGTATTGGTTGTATGGCAACGGCCTAGTGTATATATGCGTTGCTGGACATGTAATAAACGGATACGGCAAATTTTCTCTCAGTGGTGGTTTTTTCAAGTATAGGCACATTGTCTACTATCCATTACATTGCATACGAAACAACATTTACCTATATGTATATTTCTGATGTATTTACCAACGCCATCACTCGTTATCCATGTTTCGAAAGCTTTTGTGCCACGAAGGAGAACATCACGCAACTGCCCAAAAATCCCAACAAGTTGAAGAAGGCACTTCGTGAGTATGACCGCTCCTCCTCCTCGGTTCGGAACGACGAAAAAATCCGCCGGATACTAGCTACAATCATCTGATGACTCTTGTGGTAGAAATTGTTCGCACTCATATTCGCGCATCTGAGTCAGCACCTCTGTTCCAGAATCTGCGTCAATCTGTGTCAAATCCGCACACAAGAAGGGCCTCCCAAGAAATAGCAGCAGAACACAAGAACAAAAATGCAATAAAAAAAAATGCAATAAAAAGATGCAATAAAAAGATGCAATAAAAAAATGCCCATACGAACAAACAAAAACAATAAACTCATTCTAAAAAGAAAACCTGACTTCTAGCAATGATCGGTATCGGGTGCCAGGGCCGCAAATTGCACTCAACAGCCTCTCCACATTGTGAGAGACCAACCATCCGCGCCGCCTCCCATGCAAGCATAGCCTGCTGAATTTCTGATGGCGACGCCCGGCGGAAATATTTCCGCCCAGGAAGCTCTCAGGAGCATTTTTTCGCCCCGCGCGCCCCGAAAGACGCACGGGGAGGGATGGGGCGAACCACCGAATTTCCCACCCGCACTGGGCCGTTAGGACCAGTGCCCCAGGCGAGATTCGCACCGGAGCACTTTTTGTAGGCGGGTATTTGCGGCATGCTACAAGTAAGGTTCAGACGGTCGTGCCAAAGGCGCAACCATCCACAAAAATTGCATTAATATCGTCAACCGATGCTGAACAACGAATTCAGTCGTTGATAGAGTTCTTTAACACCGAGTTATTAAAACATAAGGAAATAATACAAATGGTATATGTGATATCATAGATTCATTTGGTTGAGTAATTTTTTTCTAATCGAGATCAGGCATGAGTTAGAAGAGGAGGGAAATTAGAACATGTTTTCGTCTACATTTACCCGCATACTCCATGATCTAGTGATTTCGCATTTTTTCCATTTTTCCTGTCTTTCATCACACAACACGATGATTGTAACTGGCGTATACCAAAGTGTCTTTCCAGTTCTAAAATCTCGCCATTTTAGATGAGTGTAGAATGGCCTGACTTGTGTACTCATAATGGCTTCCCAATACGGTAGGTGATAAGCGCTCCGGTAGTCGATTGCCGACGAGAGTGCGAATAAATAAAGAGGCTTTCGCAATCTCCTTCAGCAAGACAAATGTCAACCTATACTGTCATAGGGTAAGTACTGCTTAAGGTTTCTGTGTCCTAATAAATTGCTAACATATCTTCCAGGGCCGGAATTGTCGGCTTATACACAGCGTATCAGCTTCTTGAAAATGGGGTGGACCCTTCACATATCAAGGTGATCGCGGAATTCATGCCAGGAGATGAGTCCATCAATTATACATCCCCTTACGCTGGAGGAAACTTTTCATGTATCACGGGCGACGATGCTCCTACTTTGCAATATGACAAATTCACCTACCAGAACTTAGGTGCCTTGCAAAGGAAATTAGGAGGACCTGAATGTGGATTGGACCGTTTCCCCTCCAGTGAGTACTGGGATGAACAGCCTTCTCAAGCAAAAATTTCTTCCTTGAAATCCTACTTGAGTGACTATCAAGAAGTGCCCTCTGCTCAATTGCCTCATGGGGTAGCTTTTGGAATCAAATTCACTACGTGGAACTTCAACTGTCCAAAATTCTTGAAAGCACTCCAACAGTATTTGAAACGTCAGGGTGTCAATTTCGAGAAGCGAAAGATTACCCATGTGTCCCAGGCTTTTGCTCATGGAACCAAGGTCGTGTTCAATTGCACCGGTATTGGTGCAAGGAAACTAGGAGGTGTTGAAGACACAAACGTGTATCCTACTCGTGGCCAAGTCGTTGTGGTTAAAGCACCCCACATTAAAGAAAACGCGATGAGGTGGGGAGCGGACTATGCGACATACATCATTAAACGGCCTTATTCACATGACCAGTTAATTCTTGGGGGCTTTCTTCAAAAGGACGATTGGACTGCAGATACTTTACAAGACCAGACGGATGATATCTTGCAAAGAACAACCAAGTTGTTACCTAAGATTTTGGCTGCTAATCCAGGAGGTCCAAACTTTTCTGACTTGGAGATTCTTCGTGTTGCAGCAGGCTTGCGCCCAAGCAGACATGGTGGCGCCAGAATCGAAAAAACAGTTTCAGAAGGTAAAGTGCTCGTGCACAATTATGGAGCTAGTGGCTACGGTTATCAGGCTGGTTTAGGTATGGCAGCGAAGGCTGTAGGCTTAGCTCTTGGTAGATCGAAGCTATAAATTGCTTTTTCAGCGACGGTCCTCCTCTTACTGTTTGCAAGTAGGTAAACAAAGAAATATTCGAAGAGCAGATATAATAAAAATAATCATGAATGAAAAAAAAAAAAAAAAAAAAAAAAAAAAAATAGAAGTAGGCAAATACTAAGAAAGTAGTCATTCAAATAGAAAAAAATATAACGACCCCGGTGAGGATCGAACTCACGATCTCAAGATTAACAGTCTTACGCCTTAGCCAGCTTGGCCACGGAGTCGTTGTTACTGCGAAAATTTCTCAATTTAATATGGCCTACATGGGTTAGGAGCATCTCAATCATTTGCTTATCGATGGAAGTTATAGTAACTGTAACAGTAATATCAACCGCGAACATTATCAACATCGGAAACGCTCTGTTAAGCTTTCCCTTTTTCAAAACACCCATCTAATTAAAGAAGATGGGGTAGCAATCAATAATGATTACAAATTTCTTCATCAGCTTCTGCATGTGTTCGAAGCATCTTATTTTATCCTATTCAAGTAAAAAATAATTTCATCGTAACCATACAATACACGCTATTGTTCGTTACGAAGGTTCGCGAGATTTAGTCCAACGCAGATTCCATCGAAATTTTGACTTCAAGCTTCGCTAAAAACACACTCGAAAATGATGTTCGGTTTACGAATGTTTTGATTGAACCTTATTCTTGGTCAATTCAAGATACGTACTACAAGAACATTATCGTATCATTTGTTTGTTATTGAAAGTGAAATATGCAGTTTTATACCTGCAGGATTGATGTCGGCAGGATAATCATCTCCAATATCCATAAACATCTACTATAATACAGAAGCAAGCCTCTGGATGTACGGGAATACTAGTACTCAGTTCCTCAAATTGCTTGAATCTTCTAGTTGATACCCCTGCGTTTTCCTTGTTGGAGGTGCCCTATACCCAAACGCGCTGACCTCAGAGTCTTCACCAGAAGTACCAAAACATAACATTTACACACTCGTTTTCTGCAAATAACAACTATTGATGTCTAAATTTGACCCTCCTGAGAAAAAGGCTAGACATGCCGCTGTCTCAAGGCACTTTCACATATTCTGTTCGGCAATCGGCTCCTTTCTTTTCCTTGTCCTGCTCCTCTTCGGAGCTATAATTTACCACATCCGGGATCTTGTTTCTGGAAGGGAGAAGCAAAATGCTCCCAAAAAGGATAACTCTGTTTCCAATTACACAGTAAGAGAACCGTTTCCTGATATGAAGAACTTGAAGGTCACGAAAGACTTGAGGTATTATGCCCTTCAACTAGGTCTAGATTTGGAAGAGTATCAAATTATCACCAAAGATGGGTACGGTCTTTCATTGCATCGGCTCATCGATCCGAAGGATACTGAAGAGAAGAGAAACAATAGAAAACCGTGCTTATTGCAACATGGTCTTCTCCTGTGTTCCGGGGCATGGTTGACTCCAGGGCAAAACTCCCTTCCGTTTTACTTCCTTGAGCAAGGTTACGACGTGTGGATGGGAAATAATCGGTGTGGATTTGAGCCTAAACATGAACACTATAGTGGAAATCTCATGCACAATGAAGAATTTTGGGACTGGGATATTCGGTCTCTTGCCTCGTTCGACTTACCTTGTATTATGGATAATGTTCTTCTGCATAAACCGAATCACGATAAGCTCGTCTTAGTTGGACATCTGCAAGGCTGTACCCAATCCTTCCTTATGCTTAGGAACAGCAAGTTTACTGAATACCATAAGAAGATAGAAAAATTCTTTGCATTGGCACCAGCTATTTTTCCCGGATCTATGTTCCATGACAGAACTTTCATTAAGTTTATTCACAATAGAAGCCCCAGAGCTTATGACGCAATTTTCGGTATTTGCTGTTTCATGAAGATCTTGGGAACCACTAGAAAATTAATCGGCACTACTAGGCTCTTTGCGACGCTTTCATACCAAATGTTCAAATACCTTTTTGGGTGGGGAATCAATAACTGCCATCCTGATAAAAAACTACTTCGCATTCAGTTTCTTTTCAATGTGAGTTATGTGTCGCTGAGGCTCATGTCTTGGTGGCTTTCATACCTGGTTGAAGAGGGTTTCTCCAATCAACTTCAGCCGAAAGAAGCTTTTCAAACAGGATTGAACTATGCATTCACACCTGTGAATAGCAATGAGAATGTTTTGGTAGTGGATGCTGATGAAGCAGATATACCACATTCTGAAGCTAGTGCCACTGAACAAGAAAAAAGTTCTGAACCTCAGGGAAATTCCGCTGATCTTGAAAAGAGCTCTCCAGATAAAAAGGTGATTCCTAAACCTTTGACAAAGACGGTCCCATTAACTGATGACTCTAAAACTTTTTTCCCATACAAAGAAACTTGGTTTGATTTTAACGATCCAGAGGAACTTGTTCCAATGGTTTTGTTCATCGCAGGCCTGGACTTTTTGGTGGATGGAGAAAGATTAGCTACGCATATGTGCCATTATGAGAGACATTTTTACAAAGAAGGTGAGAATTTGAAGGTTGTTCGTATACCTGAGTTCAATCACCTTGATGTTATCTGGTCACTGAATGTCATTGGCCAAATTGGTATGGTCATTGAAGAAGAGTTGAAGTCCTCTGTATAAAAATACAATAATAATTATTTGAATACTGTTTATTAAGTAGCTTCTACTGTCTGCTCTGCCTATTTTTGACTTGTCTATCAGCCAATTCAAGAGCATGAATCACCGATTCCCAGAAGAATGGCCTGTTAACATTCATACCAATATATATCCCATTCTTTTCGTGTTTTAATGGATCCAAATCTCCATTTACAATGACGGTTTTACCCAGATCATTTCCCCCAACAACGACTTCAACGTTTCGCTGGAGATAATGGAAATCACAAACTGTCGCAATGTGAGAAAGGGAGGGCTCCTCTCTTGCCAACATAGCTATCAATAGGAAAACAGCTAGTGGATCATGAACAGGCGGTCCAGCAATACCATCGTAACACTCCTTATAGTGTTCGAAATAGAATGCAATGATTTTCGAGAACATGTCCCTCGTACTTGACGCCTCAATCCCACTACCACGGATTGCTTCTCTGACACTTGGAGTAGCCAAAACTGTATGGGTAAGATTCAATGGCGTCAAAATTATCTTATTTGCCAATCCAGGCTCTTTGAAAACCACATCGGCAGCATGCGGATCACAGTAGATGTTGAATTCTGCTGTCGGGGTGATGTTTCCGGTGCCAATAGCGCCTCCCATGATGGATACATATCTGATTTTATCGCACACTTCCGGATATTTGGTAATAAGTTTAGCAAAGTTCGTGAGGGCTCCGGTGCAAACGACACAAATCTGTTCCGCATGGGACAAAATAGCCTGCCTCATTGCTTCTAAGTATCCCATGTCCGAGGAAACTTCGATTCTTGGTTTCTTAGGCAAAGTTGCCCCACCAATTCCAGTTATTCCGTGCACAGATTCCGCATGAATTGGTTTTATGGCTAAGGGCTTTTCTGAGCCAACATAAACCTTGATCTCATCTTGCTTGAATTCTAGCACATCTAATAATGCCACCGCGTTATGAGTTGTTTTTTCGAGCAGGACATTGCCGTGAACAGTCGAAATCCCCAAAAGATCGAAGTATGGCAGAAAGGCTGCTAGCAAGATGGCAAAAACGTCATCATTTCCCGGGTCACAATCTAGCCATAATGGTATTTTGGCACCTTCAGAGTTGCTGTATAAGTGCATCTATTTCTGTTGATTGAAAAATCACTTGAAGTGTTCAATAGGAAATACTATCAAGGGTATAAATAGATTATTTTGAAGCGGGGTTGTGAGATGCGGTGCCGTTTTTTGACACAAAGGTCATTAACGAAAATAAGAACTAACCTGCAGCATTCAATGCAACGCCAATTCGCGGTTGCAGTCCTACTTGAATCTGAGATTCTTCGCGGTTGCAGTCCTACTTGAATCTGAGATTCTTCAATGTCAAAAGAAAGACAGACTTCCAATTGAGTGAGTTACCTTATTACTACGTAAAAAAATTTCGCTCATAGTTTACATACATTACTATTGCCATGATTTCTATCTCTAAAGTGCACAAAAGTGGTATGCCAATTGCCAATTACAAATCAGCACCCTCTTCTTCAACTGGAACAACAAAAGCCCCCGCCAAGAACAAAGCCGGTTCATCGATATTGTGATGTTGGTAACTCAAAACACCAACTCCGCCAGCATCTAACATAAACTGCGGATTCTTATTGAGAGGTTTTCCAATCCATCTTGCAGCAAAGCATCTCAATATGTGGCCGTGTCCAACTACAATAATGTCACACGCCTCATTTTTCTCTAATGCCTGCTTATGCAATTTCCTGATTTCGCTGATCACATTGTCCACTCTCTTTGTAACTTGGAGATGGTTTTCTCCAGATTCACATCCATACTCCCATATGTTCCACACTTGCCCATCCTTGTCGAGGCCCCTCAGCTTACGTAAATCAAGAATCTGGCTTGTAAGAAGGCCCTCATAATCGCCATATTCCCATTCCCTCAAGTCGTTGTTTTCAATCACTGGAATTTTCTCACTTCCATCAGCACCTTCCAACAACAATTTGACAGTTTGCTTCGCTCTCGTACGAGGCGAAGTGAAGACATACCTTCAAATTTTTAGGCTTAATCAATTGAAAGGGGGAGTCTCCTATCAAATGCTTTCCAGTATTTTCCATTTGCTTCACCCCAAATGGGGTGAGTTCCAAGTCAGTGATGGAAGTGTATTGGCCCGATTTCGACCATTCTGTTTGGCCATGACGAACGAAGATCACTCTAGGCGTTGGTGCTTTCATTTTTTATAGGGCAATCTTTCTGGGAAGAGAGTTATAACTTTGTTTTTCCGAATCACTCCGAGATGAATTAGTAGCAGGCGCATAGTGCATCATGTGACAAAATATCAATATACTACAGCGCACACAAAGATACTTGGCAGGGATCATGAACAAGCATTTCGTGAATGAAACTTTGTAAAAACACTAAGAACCCCAAGAAATATAAATGACGAAACAATGAATGAAAACTAAGGCTCTCCTCCAGAACAATTTGCTTCAGGTGTACGGGTGTTTTGTAATAGAAACGAGAAAACTGCGTCACTGATGTAATGCCCAACCCAATGTCTCTGAAAGCTCAAATCACCGAAAAGATCATTTCCCTTTTAAAAACCCTTCCAAAGGAACAAATCAAGCACTATGCTTCGTTTAAGGATGTGCAGTTGGAGAGGTTCCAGAATAAAGACTTGATGGATTCAGTGAGTGAGGAAGATTTGAAATTGCAATACATCTCCTTAAGAGACTTGGTCAACGACAAGTACAAGAACTACTACAAGCTTGATGATAAATTATTGAAGCCAAAGGGCAATCCTCAGTACTACGAGCGTCTTTTAGCTGACCTCAGAGGAGAAAAGAAGGAAACCTTGGGCACAGCCATCCGGACAGTCGTTTTTGGAAAGTGAACAGCTTCTGTATTTATAGTTCTTGTGTATAGTATGAATAATGAATCTTTCAAAGGAATACTATGTACGTATGATCTACAGAACAAATCAAATACTCAAGGTGAGAAGGGTCTTGAACAGGGCAGGTCCAGCTGAGAGAACATATCAAAAGAGATGTTCTGTCGAGAAACAGAATACTTTCTCCGAGACGTCTTTCTAATTATACCTAGAAAAAGATCGATAAAGCGGATTGGTCGGCTTCAACTTGTAGCACCGAGATTAACGTCCGTCAATGTTACTAAAGTTCACAAGCGTTCCACTTAGCACACCATGAAATGCAAATAAAGAAGTGTATTTTTCATGTGTAAGAATCATATTTATTAGCACGAATCACCATTTTTGGTTGAGAGAGAATGAATGAGAATATTCTATGACCGATTGAGAGTTCCGTATCGGAATCGCATCGTCATTCTATACCATACTACTGAAAGCGCAGGTATTTCCTTCCTATCGAAGAACGTCGGGTGCAGCAGAATGTCGTTTTTGGCAAGGTCCCGACCTGTCCAGTTGGCAGTGTCATTATTAGCACTAATTTTGGTTGTCTACTTTTTGTTCTTCAGCAAGAAAGGCGATGATGCATATTCTCCGGAGCAAATCAACGATATGTTTCAGAACAAAGATCGGGACGTACTGGTCAAAAAGGTGGAGCTCCGAAACCTAGAGCTCCTGCCTCCCTACTTGGAAAAGACAACGTTGAAATCTGCCAACTGGCAGTGGGCCGGTGATATAATATACAAAAATGACGAATACGTGAGATTAACGTCTGCCCGTCAACATCAAGTTGGAAATATGTTCTCGAAAATGCCAATTCAGGCTGAATCCTTCGAGATGGAATTAACTTTCCACATTCACAGTGAATCAAAAGCATCATTAGTAGCTGATGGATTGGCGATTTGGATAGTGGACAAACCGTCGCCCATCGGAGAAGTCTTTGGTGCAGCAAACAGGTTTAATGGTTTGGGTATCTTCATTGACACATACAAAAATGGAGCAAAAAGAAAATTTCCGTACATCAATGTGATGTTGGGTGACGGTCAGACAAGGTACGATAAATCTATCGATGGAGTAGATACAGAGCTAGCTGGATGTACCGCTCATTCTCTTTTGAACCCACTGTCGGGTCAAAGCCGCATGCGGTTAATATATACCAGAAATGGTTACTTATCGGTGGATTTCAATTATAACCCTCATTTTTCTGACGACTGGCACAACTGCTTCACTTTAACAGACATCAAACTCCCTCCAGTCAAGTATTTGGGATTCTCTGCTGAAACCGGAGACTTGACTGAGAATGTTGATCTTATCACAAATAAGGTTTTTGCCTTATTCAATCCAGAAAACGAGGAATTTGTTGACTCGGTTGAACTGCTTGAGAATATGATTAAGGAGGAACCAAACAAGGGTTCTCCGTCCAGAAATCAACACAAAAAAAGGAAATCCTTGGTTAGATTGAAAAAGTCTGAGGAAAGAATTAAACAAGCTGCGAGACAAAGAAGATTGGAGAAGTATGGAGATCCCGAGGCGACATTTGTACGTCGGTGGATTCGACGGTTCCTCACTTTCCTTAAACTTATTATCTACGCGAGTATTTTTGCTTTAATCGTGTGGGTAGCGGCAATAATTTACCGTGTACAGAAACAAAAGAAGAAGTCTAGAATTGGTGGACTTTTGGACTGATAAATTTATTGAACGTGCTGGTAGTCTTCCAACATATGTCTCATTAAATATGAATTAAAATAATTTATTTCCCCTTCTTCATTAGTTCTTTCTTTTTCTCGCAGTTGTCTTTGAGTTCTTCTTTGGGACATCCTCAATTGTGCTTTCAAGTTCGAGCTCATACGTCACTCTGTAAATACCAAAAATTTTCATCAAGAAAGAAACTGGAATAAGCTTTAATATGGTGTCTGCACTTTGCTTGTCTGAGAATGGATTAACATTAGTGGTGGACTCGAGAGCCTTAAAGTTGTTCTCCTTGAAGATTTTGGTCATGATAGAATCGGTAGTATAGCCCTCCGCAAGAAGGACTATCCTCATTGATTTCGTTTTAATTTTGTTGTCTGCAACGTAACGAGAACACAAGCTCTTGGCTTTAAGCTTTGCGATCTCCATAAGCTCGTTCTGAAGTCCCGCCTTGGCATAAACCTTTCTAACGTGTAAGCCAGTGATACGGGCATAAAAAACCTCTGAGGTAGACTTGTCAGGCAAAGGAATCACAGTCACAATTGCAATAGGAGACTCGCGATATTCTATAAGTTCAGTAGATTGAGAAGCGCTTTCAATGAAGGCCAAGGAGTTTTGGCTCTTGTCATTTTCATCGTAGTTGGCATAAATGCGCAATGGAAACCTGAAAATCTTCAGCATGGTTGCATCGTCCGTTAAACTGTCACTGACAACGCGGAACTCATCAGTAACAAGGAAACTGATGATACCAATTGTTCCAATCAAGAAAATAATCACGGGAAAGAACGAGGACACGAGATACTTGTTGTTCCATGCTAAAAACAAAAACTCGGGGATGGAATCGGAAATTTCAATCAATTCCGAATATGTGTAGTATGCGAAACCACAAAGAGTTGAAGTCAAGACAAATTGGGTAATAGGATGCCAAAAAATATGGTGATTCGCCTTACTTTGGAGTTGTCTGTAAAAATCTCCATGCAACGTGAGAGCTGCAGTAGCCAAGGCGGGCTCCAATGGAATAGGCTTAATAGTTGGATCAGCCTCAGCTTTCAAAGGCGTTGAAAGATTCAATTCCACTTGTTTAACCATCTTTCAAGTAGAAATTTAAGCAAACTTATGTCAGATCAGAGTTTTATGCAATGTAGATATAGTATGTGGAAGTCAATCTCACATAAGTTAAATGCAGGCTCTCATCGGTGACAATAATCGCACGTGGGCATTTACTTAAAACGTAGGCGTATGCGAGGCATGTATGCTTTTCTCATTTCTGGTCAAAATTATGCAAGGGCTAGACTAGACATATATGCGATTTGCGATTTGTTTTGCCCGAGACATCTTTTCTATTCACCGCTAAAATATCCAGTATTCCTAACTTCTCTTGTTCTCTTTATCTCCGTTTCTTTGCTTCGCATTCAGGGTCTTCGTTTGATCTATGAGCCACATACAGTCACTCTTTCAAAGAAAACCATCCTAAAACAATTTGAAGTAAAGAAAGAAAAAAAATGGTATTGCAAAATGTAATAAGGTATATTTATAAAGATATTATTTGATTTGCTGAAATCGGTTAAGGATGAAGGAAAAAAAAAAAAAAAAAAGAAATGTGCTTATACTCCTAGATATGAGAAGTGTGGCTTTAGATCGTGATTTAGTTTCTCGCACTCACTGTGGTGGCATTTACAATTTGAGTCATTTGTAATGTGGTCGTTATGAAACTGCCCACTTTGCCTCGAAGAAAGTGTTTGTAGGATAATCATCCCAATGCCTTCTAAAAAATTTAGGTCTTTCGCTGAAGAAACAGAAGTGCCAGTGGCTGTTCCTGGACATGTTAAGCGTGTAGCTATTATTGGAGGAGGTGCGTCTGGTGCTATTACTCTCGATTCTTTGGTCCAAGAGAATAGCTTTGATGAGATTGTCTTATTCGAGAGAAGAGACGTGCTCGGAGGAATTTGGGTTTTAGATGAAAACCCAATCGATACACCGAATGATGTATTGCAAGCAGGAGAAACAAGCGCTACAATTGACCCTCCTTTGCCTAATCCTTTCAGAGATGGTCCGCCGGGGGAAAAGGTTCGGAAACTTCGACCATCACAAATAAGATTTGAACAAACGCCAAGTTGTCATGGTATGACCACAAACATCATTGAGAAATTCATGAC